AACAACTTAGTGACAAAAATTTACGAGGATTTTGCGTGGACTGCCGTGATTAAAGGGAACTCTCTCTAAAAATACGGAAAATCGAGTTTTTTCATAAAAGACACACTTATCATGGAGGATTTCAAAAGTATTTTATTAGAACTTGTAAAATACCAGAATGCACAGCAATTACAACTACAAGAAAGAATGGAAGAGAAGTGGCAAAAACAATTGCTCTCTATTCAGGAAAAGATGAAAAATGTATTACTACAAATCCAAAAGGAAAATCGAGAGAGACAGCTCAAACTTCAAAAGGAAAATCAAGAGAGACAGCTTTAATTTCAAAAGTAAGTGTTAGTTGACAAACCGTAGTAATCCCATTGAAAACGAATTTTCTTTTTCGCAAAACACCATTTGGAGTGCGATAGAAAATTTTTCATACAATCCTGAGGAAGACCTAACCTTTGTGTCATACTTTAGGAGGTATGAGGACTTGTATGCGTCAGATTGTGCAAATTGGAGTGACTCGAAAAAAGTACGTCTTCTCCTGAGGAAACTTGGCACATCTGAGCACACAAAATTCGTTAACTACATTCTGTCCTATAAGACTAGTGAATTGACATTCACCAAAGCAGTAGAATTACTAACGGCGCTCTTCAGCCCAAAGACATCTCTTTTCCATAAGAGATGGAAATGTCTTAATCTAACTAGGAAAGAATGAGAAGACTACACCACTTTTGCGTCAATTGTAAACAAGCACTGCGATGATTTTAGACTGGCGGAGCTAAGTGTGAATAACTTCAAATGCTTGATATTCGTGCAAGGACTAGTTTCAGCAAAAGATGCAGAAATTAGGCGAAGAATACTAAACAAATTGGAGAATGAGACGAATATAACTCTACAGCAGATCGCTGAAGAATGTCAGAGCTACGTCAGTGTAAAGCAGGATTCTGAAAATATCGAAGAATCGGGTATTGCTCACGTCAAAAAAGCATGCTACAAACAGAAACAAACAAAGTCTCCTAAAACTGAAACAAAGAAAAAAACAAATAATTTGCCCCCTAACCCATGCTACAGATGTGGGGCCCTACATTGGTACAAAGATTGTATGTTCCGGAATAAAGAATGTTACATTTGTAACTGAGTTGGACACAAAAGTTCGCATTGCCGATCTAAAAATAAAACTAATAGCTGCATAAAAAATACAAGGTCGGACGAATGAGACGGTGCTAATATCAGGAAATTCATGCACGTAAAAATGTTAAACAAAAGTGTAGAATTTCAACTAGATTCGGGTTCTGATTTAACTATAATAAACTTGCAAACATGGAAACGATTGGGTAAGCCAACCATGATAAAATCTAGCAAGATTGCAAGATCAGTAACAATGAGAAAAAAGGAGAAAAAATTAAATTTGAGGGAGAATTGATTACAAATATAACGTTCAACAGGAAGGCTCTTAAATTAAAATTGTTTGTACTCAAAAATACTAACAACCTATTTGGCACTGATTGGATGACACAATTCCAGCTTTGGAACGTGCCTATAAATTCTTACTGCCAAAAAATTGAAAATTGGAATGCCAAAGCTGAAAAACTGAAAAAAGAACTGAGGGAAATCTATCCAGAAATTTTTTCTGGTGGGTTAGGCAGGTGTAACAAGATGATGGCAAAAATTGAACTTCAAGACAACGTCCAGCCAGTGTTCAAAAAGAAGTGAAATCTGCCTTTTGCCTCGTTGCAACAAATTAAGGAGGAATTCGCAACAGTAGTAAGAACTGGAAATCTATCGAAGGTAGAAACAAAGAACAGTTTGTCTAAAAAGACTAAAAAATTATCTGCTAAGAAAGTGAAACTGAAGAAAGTAGCAAAGGTAAAGACAGAAGTGCTTCATGTTGACAAAATGAAAAAGAGGGAAGTTTTTGTTAAGAGGCAAAGTAACCAAAGCAAAAAAACTGGCTCAAGGAACACAGGCCTCTATCCCTAAACAGAGAAAGAAATTTGCATCAGTTTCAGCAAACATTGATCAAAAAAACCTTAAAAACCTGGACCAGTGAAAAGGAGTAAACGTCTTGTGCAAAAGGTTTTAGTTTCTGGAGAAAACAGCAGCAAAAGCAGCAAGAGACCACAAACAAAAGTTCACAAGCTTGTTCTGCATTGAACTTGGCAAAACAAGTCAGCCAAGTTTTAAATTCCAAGCCAGATGTAAAAAGGAAACGCTTGTTTTTTTTTCGATAATGTAAAACAAGTCAGGCAGAGGAGAACCACTAAAAAGTTGGTAAACTTTCTTTTTTATAGGTACATGTGAAAAAAAAAAAAATTCTTCAGACTCCTGCGGAGTTGAGATTTTAGGAGGGGGGTGTTGTGGTAAACCCTCTTACAGTATAATGAACTCTTCCTCCTCTCATAAATACAAACTGCAAGAGTCGGACGGGAGCGCAGAGTGAGAAGTCGAGTGGAGTAGTAGACGCAGGGCTAATCTACTTATTACTAACACTATTGTTTTGTATATATCTTCAATATACTTCTTCAACCTACCTTCGTCTTCCGTGTCTTTCTTTCTGGCCCCTAAACAGGCCACAACACTTTCTTTGCTCTTCCTCTGGCACTCTTTCTTTCTTTGCTCCTCCTCTGGCACTTTCATTTTACTCTCTTTTGACTTTCCTATAACTTTGCTTCTCAATACTTTTCCTTTTCTATGTTTTTTAATCATTTCACCCCAAGCCACTAAGATGCAATGGGTTACTGAGAGGAAACTGAGAACATATTACTGAGGATAGAGAACAATAAAAATGGGATTCAAGGAGATAAGATCACAACTGACCTTGCATATTTTTTTTTTCTTTTGAAGATTTAAAAGATTCCAGTTTACACTCCTATCTGGTCTTTTGAAGGGTTTATCCCTTGTTTCTTGTTCAGGATTGTGTTTCTAGTTTCTTCTAAAGCCTACTTCAGCTCTATACTTCTAATGTTTACACCTAAACACTGAAATTTTATTTGCTATTTTATTTATTTATTTTTCCCCAATAGGAGTATATAGGTTTATGGTCTTCCCTGGTCTGTTGAAAAGGAATAGAGGTTTATCCCTTGTTTTCTGTTTAGGATTTTCAGTTCGTTCTAAAGTCTTCTCATTCTTTTCACTCCCAGTAATACTTTGCATCTTAATGGCATTATTTTCTTGCCTCAAGTAAATTGATTAAAAAAAATGATTGTAGTTGACAAGAAAGCAAGAAACTGAAAGAAAGTTCCACAAGCTAGAAGTGCAAGAGAAGAAACTATTAGTTAAAACTATAATTACACTTAGCAATTTCAACAGTAAAATAATGAGATGTAGCTACCAAAAAGGAAAGCACATCAGAACAATTGTCATGAGAATATTTATAGAAAAAGCACAAAAAAGCTATATTACAACAGTGGGAAAGTGATGGAAACCAAGATGCCAGGTTAGGACTGATAACATTGCAAATTCTTCTTTGGATTTTGTCAAGAATCTTGAGATACTTAGCAAAAGCTCTAGACCAGATATGGCAACAATATTCAATACATGGGCAAATAGTAGACTTATAAAGAGTGCAAGACAGATTTGTCAAGAAAAATTGTCTAGCATGACATAGTAAACCAAATCTTTAGCAATTTTCTTCTCTCCTGGATCTTTTTCCTCTCCTTTCATCCCCTTGATTTTAACATCTGATATTCTCATATACTTTCCAAGAATTTTCTTTTCTCTCCAGATGTGCAGGTGGTGTAATGGATAGTGGCTCAGAATGAAAAATTGGGAAGCTGAGTTTGAATTCCACTTGGGTCCATTATATTTACTTACATGCAAATTCCCTTGGGAAAGATATGAATCCATCTCCTACCCTAATCTATGGGTTAAATAGAACTTCTATCTGAAAAATAATCATTGTTATTCTCAAAAGAATATTAATGCAATATTTACTTGAAAAATAAAAAGTATAATTTTTCTTAAAATCCAAAGTATGTTTCAGCTTTAAGTAACTCATAAAGGTTGATAAATTGTAAAAAAACCCCCAAAAAAACAGTCAATCTTTCCTCCCAGCAACCTTTCTTTCTTGTTACCCTCTTCAACTTCCCATATTGTCTTTCAATCTTATCTTCCTCCCCACAGCCTTTACTCTTGTCTTTCTTTCACCTTTCAATTTGTACATCATTTCTCTTTTCTATCACCTTACCTCCTTATGTCCTTCCTTCATTTTTTTTTTTCTTCTTGTACACACAGGAAGCTTCTCTCATCTTTTCATCTTATTTTCCCATGATTTTAACTAGTGTCAGAAATATATACATTGAATGAAAACTGTTATGGGGTCCACCCCTTTTTCATATAAGTGGACTCTACCAAGTGTAACTGGACTGCTGCCGTTAAATACCCAGAGTTACAGTCAACAGGAGTGTCGGTAGTCGGATAGAGTGAGGTAACCTCTTGTAGAAGTCAGTTACAAGCACGTAGACTCTAAGGAAGTCCTACTTTGAGACTGTATATATCTATCTGTATTTGCTACTAACCGTGTTCCTGGATTTACTAACAGTATTACCCTTTGTATGATTGTGAAAATACATTTTATTTCTTATATTTAATTATTGCGTTTGTTCTTCATTGGAGGCCGAATTCATCTCGGAATCCACAACAAAAACATATATTTTTATATATAAAATCCTGTCAATTTATTGACACTTATGCTCTTTTGGAAAGCCATTAATGTGTGCTTAAAATTTTATTTCACAACCACCAGAAGACCAAATTTGAACCAAAAAAGTTTTAATTTGCTTCCAATAACCTTCCATACTAACAGACAAGAAAGAAGAGAATCTTTCAAGTAAATTCAGTATTGGAAATATTTTCCAAATATAAAACAAATTTAGTTTTGTATAACTAAATGTTTTTCTGTTGCAGGTTACAAGAAGAACAAAGACAAATGCATGTTTCTTTTGTATATCCATGCAAATTCAGTTTCTAACCCCAAAGGCAACAAAAGCAGCACTGAATCTGGATCTGGTCTTGCCATGGACTTCACAATAAAAGAACTTTATGCAATTGAAGAGATACAGAGTGAAAAAAATATATTCAAACTTCTCGTTGGGTAATTAATTTCTATTTATTTTAAAATTGATCTCTAAACAATATCATTATTTATATAAAAAATATATGATAATAAATAATTACCCCCCGGAACCTTTCGCCATAAAACACAGGTACAAATGTTCTACTGGACATGACATGAATTTGAAATAAGTTTCAAACTAATGTTAAATTCAAGTCTTGTAAAGCAATTTAGAAAATGCAGTCTAACAATTCAAAAATTATTGAACTTTGTTAATGCCAAAGAAATGATCCTAAGAAAATTTATAAATTTTTCATATACAATTGCACTTCATTTAACACCAGGTTTCATTGGTCCTATAAACCTGGAAGTTATTTTGATATTGTTACGAGGATGCATTTCTATAATAAGAGTCTCAATAAGGAAAATTTATAGTAAGAGATTCTACTGAGTCTTACCTGTTAATGCAAAAAAGTTTTCTTTCATGAAGTAGATATAAAATAGGGAAATTTGAAATAGAATGTTTGGAAGATTCTAGATCATTCTAGTATATTCAAGAAAAATCTAGATGATTTGAGAAACCTCTAGAAATATGCAAATTAGGTGTTAGTCCCTATAAAAATGGGATTTTGGAAAAGGGTTGTCAGTTGAAGAAGGGGAATTTCTGCTGTTATCAACTCCAGCTTTTGATTCGAGGACTATTATATCCAGCCGAAAGAATCTCTATAAAAAGTTGCTGACTAACAAAAAACCAAAAGAGAATTTCATGGAACAAATTTGGTAAATAGAATTTTGACTAATTTTCATTGACCAAACTAAAAATTAATATTTATTTACACACCTTTGTGGATTTCCAAATATAGCACTTAGATTACTTCGTCAGCCCTAAAGTGATAAAGATATTTGATTCCTTTTCCTTCTCCCTTGTAACACTTCACCAGTAACTCTGTGTTTTCTGTTTTATAGGTCACAATTGATTTTGTTTTTGTATATATATTTTATGTTGTGTTTTAGTAAATTAAATATTTTTTTTGTGATTTAGCTGTGTGGTGTGGTAAATCATTTTTTTTCTTTTGTTACAACTATTAACACGTAACAGATATCATGTTGGGGTTTGCGCTCCTTGGCATCTCAAAGGGCAGTACTTATCCCCTCTCTAAGGTCGTACTTACTGATTGGATGATCCCATAATCTGGAGGTCATTGAAATGTTCTGTTTGTTGATATCTCAGAAAACAAGAGACAGTTCCTGTCTATTTCTTTTCCAAGTATCATGTGATATTAGTGGTCAACATATTTGATTGATTCTGTATTCAAAGATCATTGCTGTACTTACAAATACAGAGTATCTCAGTAATGCCCATCTCTTTTATAAAGTTCATAAATTAAGAATTTTAATTTGGTAAAAATAAATAGGATCTGTTTAGATCGTTAGATTAAGTTTTCTTTTGAGGTAAGAACAATGTGAGTTTTACTGAGAATTTATCTTTTATTTCTGGCCCATGCTGTTTACTATAGAGTGATGATCTGAGTAGTTACAGTGAAAAACAAAATTAAAAGGAATAAATTCTTAGGCTAAAATTAATAATGGTTAAGAAAGTTTCATCTAATAAAAATTCCAGATAATATGACAACTTGTTTACTCATCACCATAAAGTGATGCCCTGAATAGTGATGAAAAGCAACTAAAATTAAGACAAAAGAAATAAGAGTTAAAAAAATCCAGATAATATTACTACTTGTTTACTATTAGCTGTAGGGCAATAGTCTAAATAGTTGTGTTGAAAAGCAACTAAAATTAAGATAGTGATTCAAAACAATCTGTAGTTGGTAAAGAAGGCTGTGAAATCCTAGACTGGCTGATGTGATATTTTGCTTATATGACATCATGCAGAAATATGTAAATCAGGTCTGTACAATTTAATAATATGAAAGGCCACATTGATCACAGAAAATTAGCTGTGGACTGCAAAATTAAATTTTTAAAGTAAATTACTGAGTATGAGTGAGATAGAAACAAATATATAGAGAGAGGGATGGTGAGAAAATTCTTCCTTCTTTTTTCTTGGGTGAGTTAAAAGAATTAATTAGATACAAAAACTGTGAAATATTGGTTGAACAAAGTCATGCTTTACAAAACTGAATTTTTCGTATGTGGTCAGTTGCTGAATTTATTTTGATGAGCAAAAAAATTTACTGTTTTTAAAACCTCTTGCTGGCCATACTGGGTTGTCTCGCAGGTCATATGTGTGTGACACCCACTTGTGGTTGCAGCACCAATATGTGACGTCCTCTGATTGCGACGCCAATATGTGACACTGCACTGTCAGCCTGTGGTCAACTCCCAGTTGCGGTGCAAAGCTGTAAGGTTTCTTCCACCAGCGTTTGGGGTTGACTCCTTGTCGCTGCCAGCCTGTGTCCCGGTTGATCTGGTTGTTCCTGGTTCGATACCATCTTTGTCATTTCTAGCTCATTTCCAACGTCTGGTTACTGAAGTAACTACTTTGATCTCAAGCCTAACCTACCCACGTTGTGACTTTGATCTTAGGTAGACAAAATCAATCAGGCGTCTGGCCGTAGTGCAAGCTGAATCCGGGGTGAAGGTGATATCGCACAAGCGTAAGTAAAAGAAGCAATAAAACAAAACTCAAGAGGTTCAAATATGTTGAGAAATAACAACTTATCTTTATCCGTCTCTTATATACAGGAGTGTGTTTCTCTCCCAGTCCATTTCTATGAATTTGTGACACTTTTGCGTTTCTTAAGCGAGTTTTGGTATCTTAAGCCGTTCATCAATATAACTTGCTTTTGGTAGGAAGTTGAAGTCAGAAGGGTGTGGAATTTCTTGGTCAGCTTCTGCGAGGCAACACTCTGACTCTGTCTGGAACTGAACTCCAACTGCCAAACTGCCTGGGGACGCTCGTTTATATCGATACCGACCAAAACCTGGTGTGGGGGGGCCTGACATGGTTTGGGTTCTTCGATAATTCTCGATTCCCAACAAGAATTCTCTTTGTTCTTAGGCCAGGAAAATTAAATTAATTACTTCCCATTTTTGGAAGTTTAATCACTTTCCATTTCGGGGGTTTCTCCCTTGTCCATGAGGGAAGGTCAGAGGAGAGTTATCCTCCTAGACTCTTCCTCTCACATTAGTATCTCATACCAATCCCCTCAGTGGGTGTTAACAACTTCTCCGCCTTTCTCATACATTCACCTCCGCCTATCACCCATGCTACCACTTGACCAATGATCTCTCAGCAGTGTGGGTGTGGCTAGACTGGCCCTCTTAAAATTATTATCCAGAATTTTATTTACAAAATACTTTTTTTCTTTTTTCCATCAGCCAAAACATTTTTCTTTCACAAACCCCAGATTGCCAAATAATTCTTATCACATCTTTCTTTTGGGGACACCCAAAATTCACTTAGTCAGGTCTCTCTACCAACTCATCAATCACTGTCAAAACCCAACATCTGGCTTCTCTGCTAAGTCAACTTTTAACTGGGGGGGGCCGTATTTTACCTGAGAATCAAATTCTTTTTTTTTCTCATGCCTTAAAATCCTCTTATCACCAGATGCCCATTTTCGGCGATGTTGTGTCTGACATCAACAGTTTGAAAAAGTAATAATACGATTTTCTTCCTCATGCCAGAATTCTAACACATACCAGATGATTTCCCTTTGTTGGTCCCAGGAATTAAAATTAAATGATATCTCTGAAAGATAACTAATATCGATTCTCTCTGCCTGTATCACGGTCGTCCAAAATTTTTTTATGACCACCATGTGTCAGCAGGCTTTGTTTTTCTTTCTGAATTCTTTTTCCCTTGGCACGTCATTCCCTTACCATGACATTAACCAGTTTTGACAGAATCTCATATCTCGCTTTTTTCTTACGGATTTTCTGTCTCGTGCGAAAAGTATCTTTCTTCGTAAATGAAATAAAATCTTCTTTTTAATGTCACTCAGTCTATCTTTCAATATAGCTCTTTCTCACCTTAAGTCTTTCCTGTTTTTAATTTCTATGGTTAATTAGTTAGCCAATTACCATAGCTAAATAGTGTCACATGTGACCCACAGGCCATATTTTGTGCAGGCTTGATTTAAGTCCCAAATTAAAAATACTCAGCACTAAAAATTGAAACATAAGAATGAAACAATCTGTGACTTGGAAAATTTGCAAAATTTTGGACTTGCAAAAAATGTTTTCAAATTTTAATTCATTTTGCCTTTGTATTTGATAAATTTCTTGTTAAATATTTTGTCATTTGATCAAATTGTCATTTCAGTTCTCTGTGTCCTTCAATATTTGGACATGAGGTAAGAATTCTTTTGGTCATCTTTTTATGGTTATTGTTTCTTGAAGCCTGCAAAACAAAACATGTAATCTGTTTTCTATTTAATAGAATAGATAGGAAAAAAACATGTTCTTGTTAATTCTATCAAAAATTGAATAAATCCTTTATTGCTTCAGGTTGTCATCTTCCAAATTACTTCATCAGAATTAATATTACTGAAAATTCTTGGCCTTGAAGTCATTGAATTTCTGGAGACCAAATTTGATTATCAATTATAAAATAAGACCAAGAAAATATTTCCTTTCTTTTGATTGTTTTTTTTTTCTTTTTTCTACAGTCACCACAGTATGTTGTTTGGAGTTAGGTAATAATCATAATAGTAAATGAAATTAGCAGCTAAAGTGTAGTGATTTTCAACCAGTGTCCATTGGCACATTGGTATGCCATGGCAGGATCATAGGAGTGTCATTAAAATTATTAAAGGTCATTGATTAAATTATTTTTGAAAGAAGTCAAAAGCAAAATAAGTGTACATATCAAAATTAAAACCCCATTAAATCAATTATACAAATATATCATTGTTACAATAAATAAATGTATACATAATAGATAAAATGATATAAAGTTTTTCTGCAATAGACAATATTAAAAATAAAAATCGACCATGGCTAGAATCCTTAGAAGGTTTAATAGTATGCCTGTCCAAAGTTTGACCTTGCAAAGAATCTTACTTATTATAAAACACAGATTGTGTGTGTGTCTGTACGTTTATATATTGGATCGGATTCCCTACATTTTTCAACCGATTTCGACAAAACTTCACAGGACTATGTAAAATTACCTTGCAGTGGTTCTAACAGCGCCAAAAATTGGAAAAACACAATTGTTTTTGCATGAAATCAATTTGAAAACACAATCAAGAAGCATCGCTTTCACGGAATGAAAGGGGGACAACTCATATCGAGTTATACTTATTATAAAACCCAGGTTGTTTGTGGATGTGTGTGTTCGTTTATATATGGGATCGGATTTCCTACATTTTTCAACCGATTTCAGCAAAACTTCACTTTTTTTTGGCAGGTAGTGTTTCTTATTGTCTTGCACACTTTTTTCTTTATTTTTACATTCAGAATGCTTTAAAATTTCCATTTACAAGGCAATTGTTTATAATAAAATTCTATTCAATCGGTAGACTCATAACGATTGAAAACAATGTTTTTGTTTGAATTTGGGTTTGAACAATTCGTAAAAAAGAAAAAGAAAAAAAACTAATTAAGACATGAGTGTCCGTCAACCTTAAACAATAATCTTTGTCAATTTTATTTTTCAGTCTTTATGATGGTGGATACTTGATCTATCTCTTACTGTTACATCCCCGGGCAATGCCGGGCTCTACTGCTAGTATATTCTAAAAGAAGCTTCAAGTTCAGATATCTCATTAAATGTTAAATTATAAGAAACAGAAAAATAAATATATATAAGTTGTTTTTTTAAGAATTTTAATTATTACAAATTGCAATAAATTGTTTTATTTGTGTTAATAAATAAATCATAAAATGTATACGTTTCTTTTTACTTTTTTTTTATCAACCTAATTTAAGTTTGTTGCAGAAGTTTAGCTATAGATTCAAGTGTGCCATGAGATAAAAATGGTTGAAAACATTGGTATAGTGGTTCTGTCTATGAGAAGAGATAAGTACTGTTTCAATGTTCACTGAAGTACATCAGCCTTTTGAGAAGATTAAAGAATGGTTTATTTGTAATTTGTTCTGAATTGGGATTAGTTACTGAGCCAAATTAAAAAGCATTAATGATTCCATCTATTACTTTGTTTACTGTGTATTTTTACCGTATTTAGTGTTGTGCTAGAAATTCACAATAAAAAGATTGAGAAAAACTAGTAATCCGCACATATAAAATGTGATGTGTATTCATTCACCTATCATCTAGTTCACAGTCCTCCCCAGTCTTTTAAGCAGGAGTAGCTGTTTATCCCTTGTTTCCTGTTTAAGATTGGGTTTCTGGTTCCTTCTAAAGTTTACTTTTACTCTATACTTCTAACATCTCCACCTAAACTCTTAAATTTTATTTAGTATTTATGTACATTTTTTTGCTTTAATAGGAATAAGTTCGCCTATCATCTGGTTCACACTCCTCTTTTTGAACAGGAGTAGAGGTTTATTCCTCATTTCCTGTTTAGGATTGGGTTTACGGTTCCTTCTAAAGTCTTCTCAATATTTTTCACTCTGAGTAACTCCTTGCTTCTTAGTGGCATTATTATCTTGCTTGGGGTGAATTAGTTAAAATATATTTTCTAAAGAGATAATGGATTTTTTATTTATTAATCTAACATATTTTATCACTTTAAATGTCATTTTTAGTGGATACTCATATTTGAGTAGATGTTCTGTTTATTTGTTAAACAGCATATTTATTTGTTTTTGTTGGAGAGTGCATATTTTTCTTTAATAAGATTTCTCGAACATTCAGGCCAGGAGATGAAAATAAATAGATATACTACTTGATAAATAATGTATACTCAAGTATGAGTACCCATTAAAAATAACATTTGAAGTGATAAAAATTTGTTGTATTAATAAAGAATCCATTCTAAAATTCTCAGAGTATTTAAAGCATGTATAAAATTATAGATCTGCAATGTTTCAAGTTTTAAGCTTTTATAGTTACTAGAAATTTTATACTCTTCAATTAACACACTTTCAAATAGGATTTAACATATTTATATATGTAATAATATAATATAATCCTAGTTAAATATTTATATATATTCTTGTGTCTATTACTCAGTCTATGCTCTTACGAGATAATATATCAAGTAGTTCAGCTGAAGTCATTAAAAATCTTCCCTTCTTACTTCTGTTTCTGGTAGCATTTGTCTTCCAAAGAAATTTAGATCAAAATATTCCTTGTAAAACCATATCAATAATTTACGATTTTTTTTTTTATTGTACTTTGTATGTTTTCTTTTCCTTTTTTTTTTTTCCTGGTCATGTTGAATATTTTCCCAAGGCCAAATCTTTTCTTCTTAACTTTCTACAGTTTCAATAAAGAAAAAACATCTGCTTATTTAAATAAATTTGCAGTGTAAATTTTTTTTTTCTGTCTTTCATTAGAAATCAAAAACATTTATTTAAAAGATCTAAAAAAAGTTTCTTCAAAATAAAAAAATAAATGACTTATGTTAAAACATTTCAGACAAAATGTCAGTAACTTCAAAGAGATTTACATTCAAGTAAAACAAATTTTTATATTGTATATATTTAAAATAAATTTAAAATTTTTTTTTTTTTTTTTTTTTTTTAATAGATGGTCAAAGCTGGTTTGGTTCTTGGACTTTTTGGTGGAACTCCACGGTTTATAAATGATAAGGTAAAAAAAAAAGTTTATATATGCTGACTGCTTTCTTTTAATTTCTTAAAAGAAAACAAAAAAAATTGAAAAGATTAGTAACTCATAAGGGTGTAATGATCATCCAATATTCTTTAATATTTCATGGCATGATTACAATTTAAATGATGAAAGTATAATAAAATCAGGACTTATTGTAGGTGTTAAAACATTAGGGAAAGCAGAATGTTCTCATATTTAATGACATATAAAACCCACTTTTCCCCACTAAAATGTAGTTAAAAAAATCTCCCCTGGGTCTTATATGCAAATTTTAATACCTAATATTTATCCATTCACTGTACTGATTACCTTTATCTGTATGTAGCCCCACCCCATAATATTATCGATGAACCCTTTCAATGCAACTTTTGCTGAGACAATTTTAATAAGTCACCTTGACAAATAAACTATTATAAAATTCAAACACAGATCTCATGGTTATAATTTTAATGCTCTAACCACTAGGCTAAAACTAATACCTAGCATGGACACTAGCATGATAACAATTTACCCAAGCCTTGTGAACAAAATTGGGTAGATGATGCTGTTTAGGAGCTGACAATGCTTATGCTAGCCATGAAATCACAAGTCATTGTGACCAAGAATTTAAGCATATTGGTCTTGTTCAGTTAATCCCTATCAGATAGGCTGTAGTTTGGGGTCTACTCAGTGTAGTTGTGCTATAAACCATAAACACAAATGTCATAACTAAAATTATATGTACCATTTTCAGATGGTTTGTTTAAATTATTATTGCCTACTGTCACATTTTTGAAATAGTACGCATTAATGGATTATAGGTAGAAACCTATAATTAGTATGCTAGTTTCATTTTAATTCTTATGATTACTAGTAGATTTTACAGAGCAAAGGATAGTACCAAAATTCAAAATGTTGGGAATACAGTGGTGCTTTTGAAGGAGTTTTGTGATGCTACCACCCTGTCTGGAGGTTTGGTATTTTCATACATCTGTACTAAACCTTATTCCATAACCCTCTAACTTGAGTGGCTTTTGAGCCCTATATTGGGTGAACAATTAGTACCTTTTTTATATTAAGTTTATGAGATTTTCCATAAGCATTTTAGATCCAATGTTTTTGTAAATTTTATTTTATTTTTTTTTTTTTTTTTTTTTTTTTTTTTTTTTTTAGTTTTTGAGAAGTGATACAAAAACCAAGATTATTTACAGAATTTAACAACTGGTACTATTAGTAGCTATTTTCTTGGGATATATATATATCCAAATAAAGAGAAGGAACAGGCTGATTAAGAATCCACCGTTCCTTAGCATTTACTTTTTTTTTTAAAAAAAGGGCTCAATATGACATAGAGCAAAATATTGTAAAACCTAACATCGCCTGATGACTGGACAATTTTAGTTCCGAAACATAGAAATTTTTATGTAGCAATGTAAAATATTTTTAAATAAAAATATTATTACAATATATATAATAATTTTAAAGTATGCTATATTTATGGGGTCACAGTGCTTAATATCTGGAATAGAGCTTATGTAAATATAAGCAGTGTGGATACAGAGATCAACACCAAATTACAGTAGTCTGCTTCATGCTTGAGTACAATCTTCTGGCCATGTGGGTTGGGTAATAGCTCAACTATTTACATACATTAGTTATTGTGACATTATGGATAGCAAGATCAGTTATTTCCAGTTTATTGTCTTATTCTAACGGCAATTGAATAGAACAGTTATTTTAAATTATTCCAACAGCTATTGAATAGAACGAATTATAGACCAGTAAGCAATTGTTTTACAGCTGTTGTATATCGTTGTTTATTATAATTATCTATGTTACTATAGGATAGGTCATAAATTTACGGTTTGCATTTTTAGTTATTCTATTTGGGTTACAGGTTTAAATATGGTAAGAGTTTTTCTGATTATTTTCCATTCTTATTTCCCACTGGAAGCTTCTTTGTCAAACTTTCATGAAATAGTTCATCTTTTCCTTATTTAAATAACATTTCCTCTCATCTAATCCACAGCCAGCTACATTTTTCTTAAAATTGTTGACACATTCTAGTGACAGACTGTTTTTAAAATTAACATACAGGTATAAAATTTGCTCTTGCAGAATATCAATGGTGAATATGCAAAATTCCAATTTCATTTTTTCCTCATTGTAGAAAGTAATAAATACTGGAAAGGAAAGTTCAAGCAAGTTTGATTCTATAATGTGGTCATAATAGTATCTCCTCTTGCACTTGTCACTTGTTGAACTCTCTTTTGACTTCTTGTTTTCCTGTCAACTACAATCTTCAAAAGTTTAAATACGTCAATTGTCATCAGCTAATTTTTGAAACCTGATCTTTTATCGTCTTTTTTGCTCAATAATGATTTCTCAGCTTCTTTTAGATTTTGTGTCTTAGTGACTTTTTCACTTTGCTTGTACCTAGCCTACCTGCATAATACTGTATATCAAGTGTAAATGGTGTTTATTTTATGCTATCAAATACAATTACAGACACCATAAGAGATTTTTATTTATCTTCTGATTTCAACCATTTCACTTTAATCCTTCAGAAGGTATATGTTATATTCTGTGCTAATAGGAATATATACTTGAAAAACATGGTGGATAAAATAAGCAAAGGTTTATTGTAAAACCAGTACATTAAGAATAAAGCTAACAGTTATGCACAAGTCAATCCAGTAGTGAGTGCTACTATTGGAAGGTCGGTAGTTCTCACGTAAGTCTGAGTTGTATCCAACAGATCTCAGCTAGAGTATCTAGCAACTGCCCCATGCAATTACATGTGGCACAAGGCCGAATTTAATGTGGGGTTCCTGAGCCCATAGGCTCGACCAAAAAATCCCCATAGACCCCACATAAACAGGATCGGGTCGGTCTACGTCCCCCGAACGAGACTCTGCTCTTCGGCATAGCCTTGTCCGGGTTCCTCTCTGCTCGAAGGCAGAGAGTTCAACCAGAACAGCTGAAAAAGATTTGAGCTAGACTCTAGTCCGTTGACTTACTTATAGGTAGTTACTACATACAGTGTAGTCACTCATGGGGAGGTGACAGGTTATTATATTACATCAGTGGGTAAATATGGTCCGCTACAACTTTCTATCAACTTTCCTATCAACTCTTTCTTGTAACTCTTACTAAATTTTTTTTGCTATCCCTTCCACCATCTATTCTGGCATCCATTTGCACAAGTTCTTCAGGTAGGTGGCCTGCTACTTCCTCTGTCCCTTGTGTCTTCGATATGTCCTGTGAGATTCAAATTTTCCAAGCTCTCCTTCCTCATTGTGTCCAAATTTCAGCTTTCTCTTTCTGATTTTGAGTATAAGTGTCCTTGTTGTTTGTATTTTCCTTAAGACTTTGTATTCTTAGCATCACAAGTATTCTTAGAACCACATCTCTGTTGCCTCAAGTTTTTCTTCACCTGTGAGGAGATTGTCCAGCATTTACTGCCATACAGGAGGATTCATATTACATCGCACTTCATCATTCTTTTCTTTCTAATGAAAGTTTCCTGTATCTTAATACTTTGCTTAACTTTTGAAAGACACCTTTTACTATTCCAATGTAACCACACTTGTCAATCCTGGTCAACAATAACCAAATATTTAATGTATGTTGCCCCAAATCAGCGATAACCAAAGATGTAATGCCACTCATCAGTTCTCAAGTTCTTTCAGACCATCGTAGTTACTATTTAGCTGACTCTTCACTCATTAGTGTGTGACTCATTTTGTCGTCGATATCATGATAGTGGCATGGTTCCACTCTACTTAGCTGGCGTTTGTTTGTTCACAACCATTCACACTTCTGCCACGTGTTTTTGATCTAAGAGGGTGAGAAGATTGCTGATGAAGCAGACTGAAGTAAAGACCAGAGCTACAAATAAAAAACAATAATCCTTTGGAATAAAGAATTAACTCGGATTAAAGCTGTAACAAAGATATAGTTTATATATGATTTGTTGTATACAGCAGTTTTAATCCTTCCTACTAGTTATGATCAAATGATACTGGGATCCCTTCAGAGTTTGCAGCTTGTTTTAGAAGTAAGTTAAATTTCTAGATTTTGGTCTTCAGGGATGGCACAAGATCTTGGTCAGGAAGTCTCGGCAAACGATGTGGATCCCAGTAGCAGTAGTGTGGGGATTGTCTCTTTTTCTCTGTGTATATCTCAGCTGTCCAAAATCTCCAGCTTATATGGAGTCCTGCATCCAGCAGGGGCAGGGTTGACTAGGGTCTGGGTTCAGTTGTCTTCTACCCTAAACATCAACCTTTTCTAAATTTCCTTATATAAAAATACATTTACTCAGGTGGTTTTCCAAATTAGGGATTGTCCAGCCCCCTTTTGAGAGAGGTCAAACAAATCAAGCCACCTCTTAACTCCAATTCCCTTCACACTCACTTTGTACCATAGCTCCATATAGGTGGTGCTAATCTCTCTCTTCCTTCTCCTACTTTCTCAGCAGCCAACCTCAGCCCACTAAAATAGAGCTGGTGTGAAAAATCCAACTTCCAGATGGCGCAGTGAAAACAAAAAGGATTTTCAGTCATTAATCCTTCTTTATCAGCTTGCCCCATGCTGTGATCTCTTGATTGACCAGACCTCTCAAAAATTGGAAAAGGAAAGAAAAATTATTTCCATTCTCCTTAAAATGAAAGTTTATCTTTTCTCTGTCTATGCATTTTTTTTACAATCAACAGACCACACATCCATGGATATCTTAATGGTCTCTTTCGGTGTGAAGTGGGGAAGAACTGGTCATCTTGGTTTTGCTCAATCTTACTGAATTCCATCTAGTTAAATTTGGGTTTGATTCTCTTTGGAATTATTTCAAAACATTGATTTATCAACACATTTTGTTTTTAATTTTCTTCGACTTTTCAATCTATCTTCCTGCAAATTTCAACAATTACCATCTAGGTAGTAGACACTCTCCTCTTCTTTCTTTCTCTTTTTTTGTTTGATCAACCAGCAATCTCAGTGCCACACCAATGTGCATTCAGATTTCCATGTTGCATTTTCTATCTGCTGTTAAAACACTTTCCAGATATTTAAACTTTTGTACTTGTTTGATTCTCCAATTGATAATTCACATCTTGGGCTTTTTTTTTTTTTTTTGCTGACAACTATACATAATCTTCTTACAATTGATAATTAGTCCTTTCTTTTTGCTTTCCTTTATTACTTTGTCTAGGAGGTCTTTCTGTATCTGCCATCAACAGTATTATCTGTATATTTTATATTAAAGACTGTGCTCACCAATAAAAATCGTGGTAGGGTCTCCAGCTCCTTTATGATAGCCTTGCTGTAGAGGTAGAATAAATCTGATGAGAAGACAACTCCTTGTCTTACACCCCTTTCTATTTTTGTGTAGGTACTCAATTCATTTTCTGTTTGTATACAGATGGTTTGCTCCCAGTATAAATTATGGATTATTCTAACATCCTTCCCAAATTGATCTAGTTTTCCTAGCATTTTAAATAGATCTTTGTGCAGTGGCTTATCAAATGCTTTAATATAATCTATAAAATATATGTGTACATTCTTCTGCATTTGTATTTCACAGTTTGATATCTTTCTGAAATCCATGAATAATGATTGGTATACTGGGTTAGCAGATGTGGATTGAGCATTGTTTGCTAGTGAGCTTTTTTAAGGATTCCACGTAGAAGTCGATTAAGGGGGTCTGTGTACATAACTGACACTTTTCATTCTCCATTAAAATTAGACTGTTATTAAAAGAATCGTTACTTGGTGATAATTACTGAATGTTAATTTCAAGAAAGTTTTCATGAAAAAAAATTTTTGGAAAAAATGTTAAAAGATAATATTTCAATGAAGTAAAACCCAATTTTCTCTGAAATTTTTTTTTTTTCCCCTTTTTTATAAGAACCGAATTCCTGTTCGAGGAGATCCACATATTCTTATCGTTGGAGATCCAGGTTTGGGGAAGAGTCAGGTAAGTTCATAAAAATGTTTTCTTTTTCATTTTGTGGGGTAAAAATTATTTCTTAGCAAAAATTCTGTCTGTAGATAGTTGGGGAATGAACCAGCCAAAAACACCATGAAAACAAGATTAGGAAAGTCAAATGCATTGAATATTAACAACTTATTTCAGAAAAAAGTTTTTGAAAAAAAAATGGGATCACCCAAAAGAATTAATTGAATATAAATCCATTGTACAGTCTTACTGGTGCAATGCTCCCATATCTAATCACCGAAAACAATTGCACAGTCTAATATGTAAATTTAATATATCTGTTCATTTTGAAAATTCTCAGCCCAATCAAGAAGCCCTTACAGAAAAAAAAATTCTGATATTAGATCATTTGGTCACATTCTGGGAAGTGGGTTGAATGGCAAACTTCACAGCACCCTCTAATAAACTTACTAAAAATATAATCATTTTTTTTATATATATATTACTTACTTTGACTAATAAAGATTATTCTTCATGCTAGAAATTCAAACAAAAAATTAAAAAGTTTATTGTCTTATTTTAAGGATCCTCTTGTACTTTTTAGGTAGGTGACACTTGGGACAATTTCTGTCATTTTTGACATCTTGGACTAACAAATAAGCTTTTTCCTTCAACCAGTAAGAATTCTGATGGTCTCCTGCCAACTCTCTACTCACCTTTTCATCATGACACACAGCTGACAACTCTCTCTCAATGGACAGTTTGCACCCCAGTAAAGGGAAACCTGGTACTATGTCAATTCCAACTGTGACTGTTAATGACCAGAAGTCTTCAACATCTGTTTTGTTGTCACTTGTTCCCAAAAGTTTTCATTTATTTATCTATTATTTTATTCCCTTTTGGTCAACTGGGTGACCACTTTAAAGACCCCATCATATAGGCTTTATTGCTGGTCATAAAAAAACCTGAACCACTCAAGAATGAGATAAAATCACACACCATCTTCCACATGGCTGTTCCAATCATAGTGCCATATGATATGAACTACAGAGATGAAGATGACCAACCAAAACATTGTGATATGGGCTTCAGCAATGAAGATGTTGGTAATAATGATAATAACAGCAGCAATAATAATAATAAAAATGTGGCACATGGGAACATCAACAATTCCTGTTCTAGTTGGAGCCTTCGGATTGGTTGGAAAAGATTCCAGTAGACTCATTGAAGGGATTCCTGGAAACCTATGCCTTAAAGAAATACAAAAAATTGTTCTCACAAGTACAGCCCACACCTTACAAAGGGCTTTATTTATGTAAAATATGTGTGAGCGTGTTTTTTTTTGTTTTTTTTTTTAATGCCATTTCTATCCTTGGGTCTCTAGACAATACTTGAAAGAAATGTGTACACACCAGAAATCAAAGGAAATAAAATAATAATAATAATAATAACAGCAGTAATAATAACAACAATAGTAGTAAAAAAATATTGAAGAAGTTAAAATTTAAAACATTTATATCCATAATATTTTCATTTATTTTATTTTTATTTTTTTCAGATGTTGCAAGCTGTGAATTCCATTGCCCCAAGGAGTGTATATGTTTGTGGAAATACTACAACTACCTCAGGATTAACTGTGAGTCTTTATTATTTCATTTGTTTAAAGTTCAACTTTCATTCACTATACTTTTCAAAACAAAATATGTTACATTTGGAACAAACTCTAAATCACAAAGTGGAAAAAATATTGAAAATAAAATTTTATAAATAGTACTGCTGGAATTTCAATATTTGGGTATGTACAGGGTGCAATGGATAAATTGTTGGCATTTTATATTTTTAATTTCACATATGCACATTGTCTATTTTTGATTTTGTCAACTGCACAGAGTCAGTTGGGCACCATCTGAGAAAAAGAGCATAATGCAATTCACTCTGCCAGAAATTTTGAAACAGCATGATGTACTCTGCTCCAATACAAACATTTTAGAGTCTTTGAGTGTCAATCTGAGGACAGTGCAGAGGGCTCGAAAAGAGTTGGATGAGTCTAATGTTGATTATGATGGTACAGCAGCTTGGAAAACTCACTCTAATTCTGATAAGAAAAGAACTCCCGAATTTGTTGGTGAGAGCCTCAAGCTCAACACGGAGACCTACATCAAGTGCTTTGAGAAGGTAGTGCTGCCCTGGGTCAAGAGGGTAGCTGCTGGAAGACCCTATGCCTGGCAACAGGACTCTTCACCATGCCACACAAGCAGGAGAACCCAGTCTTGGCTGTCAGACAATTTCTGTGACCACACTATCCCTTACATCTGGCCACCTAACTCCCCAGACTACAACCCCTTTGATTATTATGTGTGGGGTGCAGTTGAGCAAAAGACCAACAAAACTCCTTGTAACACCAAAGATGAACTGAAGGCAAGGATTATGGCAGCATTCACCAACTTAAACAAAGAGACCATCCAGATAAGTTGCAGGAGATTCTAAAATTATCTGGAGGCAGTGGTTGAAGCCAATGGTGATTTTATTGAATAAAATTTGCTCTTTAGTATTTCAAGATTTTTTTTGTGTAATTTTGGTAAATATAGTTGTTAAAATGAGATGTCAGTGTTATTTTTATTTTTGCATAATTTTACATGATAATTTATCCATCACACCCTATATACAAGGATTTCAAAAAGTGATAGCAAGTCTGTATTATTTAGTTCACACACCCTGTTCAACCTTCCCACACTTTTGGATAGAACTCACAAGGAACTGCTGGAAAGTTCTTGGCCTGACACATTTCCCAAAAATTAGTATTTCAATGACCAACCCAGATTTCTTTTAATTTTGTATTTTGTAGGGTTAAAGAAACTTCAGCTATGTACCAAGTGTACTGATTGGTGGAGTGAATATGTTTCATAGCAATCGGTCATTCTTCTTGGTAGTGTTTCCTGAAAATCTGAAATGTGCAAACATTTTTCACTGTAACTGTTTCCAAAGAGTTTTCTTCTGATAGAAACCAACAACAAACTAGCATTTATTTTCTTTTTGTCTCTTTGTCGTAAAACTCCCTGAAAAACTGAAATAAAACAAATATTATGTTTGGTCGAGTTCCTTAGATTTCGTAAGAAGTAAAAGGGTGAGTTTTATAAACGATATCAAAAGTTATTCCCATTCAACTGTGGAGCAATAATAAATATTATATAGATATAGTAAGATACCATGTGTGCCTTTCTGAGTAGAATTTCGGGAAATGTTATAAATCCTCGTGTCTTATTGATCCTCATTGGGATGAAACATTTTGCTGTGTGCACCTTATAAGTCTCTTGTTAAAAATAAGTGGTTTCCTTTCAATTAGTCAGACTGACTATGTGACTGGAAGCAGGAACTATTCTTTATTTAATATTATTCTCTTATTCTAATATTTTTACCTTTTTACATACTAACAATTTCCTTTTTATTATTTAATTTATTATTTTTTATTTGTTTTTTTACATGAGTAATGTATTTTCTGCAATATCTACACTCATGCTTTTAGCATGTCAGTGTATATATGCACTCATATAAATATAATATATCTTTCACACCTTTGCTCTTGTATATTCATTGTTTATGTATTTCAATATCAGGTCTCACCAAATTGTATAACCTAACTTGTTCTCAGACATAATTTTTGGTTTCGGTTGGTCAGAAACTGCCAACTCCTCTTCTGATTCTGAAAGCACAAAATCGTCTGAATAATCCTTAGGAGATTTTGAGTGCTTGCTACTTGAATGTGACACCAACTCATCGTTGTCTTCACTTGGCCGGTAGGAACTCACAGAATCTGTATGGATTGAGTCTTTCTTTATCAGTATTGGCAGTCTACGGGTTCTTGGTGTTGGTAGGGGTGTTTCAGAAAGCATTGAACTTGAACTGACATTGCTTTCTTGTAAACTTGGGCCTCTGCTTAACCGAGGTTGCGGTGATGTTGACGACAGAGGAACCAACAAGGAAAGGTTTTCATGCATATTCACTTCAGGTTTCTCAAAAGATAGAACCTTGTTTTTTTCTTTGAATTTTTGATTGGTTGTTGGTTCATTGTTGTCATTGATGACTCTGGTCTCCATCATTGAATTCTGTTTTGAGGAAAGTTGGGATTCTTTTTTTTGCCATTCTTCCAAATCAGTCTTAGAGTTTCTTTTTTTATTATTTTTGCTTTCTTTATCTGATTTAATGCCATCAGAATTACTTAATTTGTCTCTGTTGTCTTCAGTTTCACTTTCTAGACTTTGGGAAGATCTTTCATCAGAATAAGCACAGACTTTCATTTCAGAATCTGATTGAGTTTTGTTTTCAAGAAGAGGCTCATCTTTGTCGCTGATGTCAGTAAAATCTGATGATTGTTTCTGAATTTGTTCTGCTTCATTTTGTTCGGGTTTGCTTTCTTTTTTAATAAATGTCTTTTTCAATTCTTCTGCTTCTTTTTGAATATTCTCCATGAGAAGTTCTTCTGTTTTATCCACAGACTTTGTTGGCTCATCTCCTGAAAGCTTTACTTCAATTTCATTTCTTTCTTTCATGGCATTTACCTCATTCTCCACTTCTTTCCTTTCCTTCATGACATTTACCTCATTCCCTACTGCATTCCTTTCCTTCATGACATTTACCTTGTTCTCTACTTCTTTCTTTTCCTTTATGATATATACTTTATTCCGAACTTCTTGGCCAATTGTGCTTGGTTTTTGTTTTGATATTTCCTCTTTTAATGTTGGACAGTTATTTTTAGATGATTTCAAGTGATTTTTGTTCATTTCAGGCTTGAATCTTGACTCTTTTTCTACCTTTTGTAGCTTTCTCCTCTCGTTAGCCTCATCATCAAGCAACTTTACTTTGTTCAGCCTTAAAATATGAGTCTTTGTGAGTCCAAATTCCAAAGATGATTTTCTTCCCGACAACTGTTGTGTGCATCGAATCCAGCTTTTGTTTTTCAGAATCTGTTTCTCAGTATCATTGGCACTCACTGGAGTCCGTTTTGTAGATGCACTGACGCCTCGCCTTGTTTCCCCTTTAACTGATGCTGAAACCTTCTCAGAATTCTGCTCTTTGAGACTGTCAATAATTTGTTGCAATACTTTAGGAACATCTATCAAAGACAACTCTTTTAAAATAGCACTTAAATAGGGATATTTATTCATTTCTGTTGCTAAAGGTTTATCATCTGTTTTTGGATTATTTTGAAGAGTCTGAGATATTCTTTCAGGATTCTTCATTTTCACAACACTTGGTAAATTATCATTATTTTTAAGTTGTTGGATGCGGTCTCCAAAAGGTAGGTTCTCATCTATATTTTGTGACTTCTCTTCAATATCACATTCCTTATTGTTTAAAACATCTGGGTCAGAGGATAAAATTTTGGAGTTACTCTTACGGTAAAATATTGGCGGAGGGCAGTAGAGTTGAAAAGGGTCTCTTTCTTCAGATTGAATTTTTACATCATTTAAAAGTTGACAATTGTGGTTTATTATTTGCATGTTACTTTGGTTGTCATCAACTGGTACTTTAAAATCTTTTGATTGCTCTTCTTTTGTTAAAACTGATTCTGAAACATTAGCAGTTTTGTTAGAGTTTAGGATTTGGGGTGTTGTCTCTTTCTCTGGTGATACAGTTTTCACTAGCATTTCTGTATGCAAATAAATTTTAGGATTTTTATTCTTTCCTTTTGGAAGATCAGATTTTGGCATCAGCTGTGAAGCTGTTAGCATGTTATCAGTATCTCTAACCACATCATTCTTTGGTAAATCTGATTCTGTGACATCTGTCTTGGATTCATTCACAGATATATGAGGAAGAAGAGTTGATCCTAAATACAAAAGACGATATCCAAATGTCATATATCCTATTTCTTTAGCCATCAGATTATAAATGCGCAGTAGACCTGTGTCTTTATAAATCACTGGGATGTCTGGTCCATTTTTGCTAAGATCTGTACAAATCTTTTTAATGGCTGTGTCAAGAGGTACAGATGCATTCCCAGTTAACTTTGGAGTGTTTGGGAGTGTGTCCAAAACCATAACATACAGAGGGGCATTCAATAAAAGGGACTTCAGTGTTTGAAGGCATATTTTAAAGAGACAAGATTTTCCTTGCTTAAAGCAAAACGTATCTTCAGTGTCTTTGAGACTATCAAATTGATTAGGAAGAATCCAGTCTGGCTTTGATTGTATCTTTTTCCTTATGGCTTCTGCAGTATTCTTTTCCACTAAATCTATGGAAATTACTGGAAAGTCAAGTAATTTACAGGCGATTGTTGGGAAATGGCAAGATATATTTGGTAAATATAACTTTTCAACTACAATTTCCAGTGAGAATAGAGAAGGGGTTTCCATATTTATTATTAAATTTACCAAAAATTTATTTTTCCGTAAGTATATTATCTCGTTAAAATACGTCTCTGATTTTTTTTTCAGTACATCAAAAATGTTATTGGAATTCGTAATGAATTATTGTTTGTATATATTTTTAAAAAATAATAATTAATATTTTTGTTGTGTTATTTATGTTGTCTTCACAACGTTCAGATTGATTTATTTACGACCGTCGTAGAAACCTGACGTTATTTCTCGCAACAGCAAATAAAAAATGATATGGTCTCATTCTCATTTGGAATAAATATCTCAGATTGCCGATGAAGAAAAGCCTTTTTAATTGCATGAATAAATTAAAATTAAATTAGCCAATTGGGACCAAGAAGATGCTTTTAAAAACCTGTTCATCAGGATTATTGCGGGCTAGTTTTTAGTTTTGGCCCTTTGGGGAAAGAAATACGTTAAAAATCAGCTTCTGACATCCTCCGTCTACTTGTTTTATAACGATATTTAATATTTTTATTTATTTTTTTTTTTTTTTTGAAAAAGAGAGAGATAGAGAGCGGACTGCCGAAATAAAATAATTTCAACAAATGAAAGATGGCTAAGCTAAGAAACAAGAAATAGCACTTTTCTTTGACATTTTGTTTGAATTTAAAACTTTTGCTGTTGAAAAAAAAAGTTCGTTGTTGGTAAAGTTTCGTATTAATGTTTTTGTTTTTGTTTGACAAGTGCTTTCTCCGAGGAACAAAAAAAAAATGACCTCCCAGATGGAAAAATGTTAATTTAAAAAAAAATTATACATATAAATACGAAATTGATTTTTGTTTTTTTTTTACGGGTATAGAGATTTGTCTTACGGTCATTTTTTTTGTTGCTTTCAGTCCAGCTCTAATTCACTAGGACATAAAATAGTATCGCGGTCTTTCGAAAAGTAGATGTTGTTGCATGAGAACAAGTTCGTTTCTCAGCAACTAATAAACAATGACTTAATTAGAGTTACTTCCCTTCCATCGTAAGCCAGTGTTTTAAAAATTACGTTAAAAAAAGTTTAAAGAATATTTAATGTTTTATGATCAAATCAACAAATTATATGAAATTATCTGGACAGATTGTTGATAGCGTGATATCATTTCAAGAAATTAGTTTTAAGTAAGCATAAGAAAAAAAAAATTTCTCAAAGTTTCAAAAAATTAAACAAGTAAATGTGAAGGTAACAAATGTAAATAAAAAAATATTTTTACACAAGATTTTCTAAAAAAGAAAGATTTCTAAAATAATTTTATGTCTTGAAAGTTTAATTAAAATCCGGCAATTATCTGATTTTTGCAAGAATTTCCAAGTCAACGTGTTTTCATTGCAAAAAGATGCTTAAATTTTCCAGAAAAATTTATGGCCCCACTTTGATGCCAGAAAAAAAAGACTTTTAACCAAAATTTCAAAGATTCTAAAAAAGACTAAAAAAAAAATAATTTCTCCATCAAAAAATTATTTGGTCTTTTCTTAACAATAACAATAAAACTTTGTTTTTATTAAGTTTGGGGCACTTTTTTTATCTTGTATACTCAGTTTTGGAGGTACCAAGTTAAATGTTTATATTAATTATGAGGACAAGTTGTAGAAAAATTTATATCATGAAATTTTGGGAGGTTAAATAGTACTCCTAGTTAGAGAAAATCTGCCCTGAATTGCAAAATAAAAAATGCAATAAAACTAACATTATTTTAGGTACTAGCAGTATAACCCATCTTCAACCGGATCTTTCATTACTGGGAATTTTTGACGTTCAGTTGGAGTAGTTTAAGTTTAAAGTCAGCCCACCTGAAAATATTAGCAACAACAATTGGGTGCAATCGAGGCACATCCCCAAATGAGGGGATTAGCAATTTGAAAGTGGGGCAGAAAAGCGTCCATTTTTGCATTCTCAATCTTGTTTCAACCTCACGCGCAGCAGCAGTTGAAAAGGCATTTCTCCTCAGCCGTTGAATCCTTTGATCATCATTTTCAGCTTTGCACACAGAAGTGTTAAGGATTGCTCTTCTGGAAAGCCGATGGCTACGTGGATCTTCAGACTCAGTGGCTCTGATTGAAGCATTCTGAGATGCATTTTGAGACAGGTGTAGTGAATGTTCTAAAGACGATTCATTATCTCTTATTCACATGGCGGCCTTGTCGGCAGCAGTTTTGTGACCTAGGCAAATTCCTTTCTTTGGTGGCATGTCTTAGGCACGTATGAATTGTCAAATAGAACGCATGAGCAAATACCAGAAGAGGATGCTGTAAAGCTAGAGGGATCGCCAAGCTCAAATAATTTTAGGAAAGGTTGGAAAAATAAATGTTGAGTAATAAAAAAAGAAGCTTACTTATTACTACAGTGAATGCAATGCAAAAACTGGCAGGACAATAATAAAATTTAAATTGGGAACTGCTATAAACGACAATGAAAGCAACACATTAAAATGTAATAGTAGGCTTTATGCAACCGAAAAGGTAACCTTACTTTAGAGAGATTGATTGCTTGACTAAGAAAAGGAGAATGTGTAAGCAGGGCTGGACGTACAGAAGTAGAAGTATAATTGCAGAATTAAGCGATAGTAACGAGCTGAGTAGACAATCAGTATGACATGTGACATTTGATTGGACATGTAAAGGGGCTTTGTGTAGCCAATGGGCAACTCAAACAGATGTAGCGTTCTGCATGTATCAGCGTGTGTTGCAGGGCCACATGTACACGTGTTGCTGCATGTGCTAATTATCAAGGTCAGCAGCAACCGATGGGCAACATGTGGGTGGTGTTAATCACACCCACACAGCATGACTGAGGATTGGAAGGTTATGTGTGAAAAAGTAAATTAACTTTTGCCTTTGATTTTTGCGCAAAGTGTAAAAAAATCAGTTTTTTCGATTTTTCACCTTCAAGGTTATAATTTTTTCCAGCTGATTTGGACTCAAAACTGGCACTGAAAAATTATCTATCAAACAAAAAAATTTCATTGAAAACTGGAAATGCATAAACAAAACCTGATCACACATACACATTGTGAGAATTATAGATATAGATAATATTATTGTAATAATTTAAACTATTTATTTTTATTAAAGTTTTCATGAAAGATTATCTATCAAACAAAAAAATTATTTGAAATCTGATAGAACTGTGGAAATGCATAAACAACATTCGATCACCCACACACACACACATACATATAGACACACAGTTTAAGATTTATAGGTGATTGATTTTTCTATGGTGGCTATATCTGTAAAAAAATAAATGAAGATTATAATGTGAATGCCTTTTTTAGATAATTTTTTCATACTCTGTAATCTTTAAAAATTTAGGAAAATATTCTCTGTAATCTAATGTCTATTAAACTTTAGATACTTTGGCTTTAAATTTACTGTAATTATTGCTCTTATTTTCTGATAATTTTGTCTATGAACAATTGTATCTACAAAATTGGCATGTTTATACATATGCAAAAGAAATTCATAATTCTTTTTAATATATTGGGGGTGGGGTCACTGAATTGTAGTAAGCTTTTCATCTATGATTATAAATATAGTTTTTACTTAACAACAATATATTTTAACTGGTACAAATTCATACAGATTTAAAATTTTATAAATTATTCTAATTAAAATTTTCAAAAAATGAAAACAATTCATGTAAAAAATTAATTATTCAGTGAAAAAAAATTATTTTCTTAAGACAATATTCATAAAAGTAAATAAAGGCTTTTCTAATTAAATTATGTCCAAGTTTTATTACATCTTTTATTATATAATTCAGAACAAATTTTTGGTAACTGAGTGTTCTGTTTTACAAAAAAAAAAAAAAAAAAAGATTTAATTTCTCCAAGGACTTTTGTTTTTAACTAATATAAACATTAAGCCATAAAAAAATAAATTTTTCAATATTTCAAAAAAGTAAATAATTGTTGCAGGGGTTGGGTGTAACAGATTTAAAAAAAATATTTTTACCAAGATTTTCTAAAAAAAAAAAAAAAGTATCTTTTTTGAAATAATTTCATTCATTTGTGAATAAGTTTTGAAAGTTTCATTAATTCTGACAATTTTTTTTTTTTTTTTTTTTTTCAAGAATTTCCAGATCATTGTATTTTTCACTGCAAAAAGATGCTAAATTTCCTATTCTAATTTATGGTCATCCACTGATGCAAGAAAAAAAAAAATTTAACCAAAATTTTGAAGGTTCTAAAAAGGATTAAAAATGGTGTTGACACTGGAGACATTTTCAAGAAAGAAAACCTTGGGAACTTTTTTTTTTTTTAAAGAAGAGCACTGGAGATTATTTTTAAGAAAGAAGTATGTGAACTATTTAAAAAGAAGAGAATATTGGGAACTTTTTCCAAGACAAAGAGTACTGGAAACTTTTATTTTTTTTAAAAAAGAGAGCACCAAGGGACTATTTTCAAGAGCTGACTGGAAACTTTTTTTTAATAGGTGCACACTGGGTACTTTTAGTCATAATTAATTCTAAGGAAATGGTTAATTTCAAAATTGGTTTTATCCAAATATAACAAACCAAAGTAATATAAACTCACCTAGTACAAATCTTTTTGATTCATTTCTAAAAGATCTCTTAATTTATCACTATAAAATTTTATGCAGGCTTTTTATTTTCTTTTTTTTTAATTTTTTTAATCAGTTTCACCCCAAGCAAGGCATTAGTTATTTAGACACAAGGGGTTACTGGATGTGGAAGAATTAGAAACTAAAATATTAATAATGAGCGGGGAGAGTAATCAGGAGGACATTACATAACAATTGACATTGCATTTAAATTTTTACAGATTAAAGTTGGCTGGAAAGCATGGAGCCGGAAGGGAGTTCCACAAATGAGAAATGTGAGAAAAGAAACTGTTAGCATAGAATTTATGGTTACATCTAGCTAGCTCAAATGTAAATTGATGAGATCTCGACACCAGTTAAGTACTTTATTTTATTTTTTTATTTCATATTGATTAGAAGTTTATTTAATGTTACAGGTTACTTTGTGTAAGGATGGTGGTTCCAATGACCATTCTTTGGAGGCTGGAGCATTGGTTTTGGCTGATCAAGGATGTTGTTGTATTGATGAATTTGATAAAATGGGTACTCAGCATCAGGCTCTGCTTGAAGCCATGGTAAGTCATATCTTCTGTCGGTTTTTGGCATTTGCTTAGCATTGTGGTGTTAAGCCATTGTACCTGGGGCAATTACATGTTGATTGAAAAGAAAGGTTTGGCACAACCTGAATAAATAGTTCTATATAAAGCTTCAAATTAATAAATAATAAAGTTGGAATAATTAGTATTATATATCATATTTTTAAAATTTAATTTTTTTTTTTTTAAATTTTCATTTCAAGTTGGATCTCATGTGCTGTAAGTTAAAAGCCTTTTCTAAACATTATAAATAAAAATTCAAAATGTAATATTGTCTAGCATTGTGGTCTTGAAAATCAAAATTCGATTTAGAATTGCTTTAAAAAAGATAAAGGGGGAAATTAGATGGTTAAATTTTATCTGCTAGCCATAAATGTACATGTAGCTAAATCAACAGAGCAGCTGGTTCACATTTCTACCAAAGATGCTTACTATATTTAATTGTGTATATGCTAAGGAGTATGTGAAAAATATTATAAAATGGGGGGGGAGTAGGCTTGTATTTGAGGTCAGTATTTTCCACTTTCTCCTTAACCTTAACATCTATGTAAAAATGCATCTGGAGTAACTGCTTTATAAAGAAACAGTTTTACCTAAATTTTACAAGCATTTTACAGAATATTTTTAGTACTCACTTTGTGTTTTCATTTCTTTCAGTTTTTTTAAGGCACATGTTTCATTCATTTTCTATGTTAAATAAAACCATTACTTTCAGATGATAGTTGTTTGCAAAAAGGAAGTAAAAAAAAAAAAAAAAATCAAGAAACTTGTTGAAACTTTATAAAATAAATGAAATTGTAAAAAGGTCACTGTGAAATTGAATTGTGAAACAAAAACTCTACTTTAAATGACACCTCATAAAAATATTCTCCACTTGTATAAATTTACCAAACTGTGTCATATGTGTTGATAATGCACAGAATTTGGATTTTTGCCCATTTTTCAGGCATAAAATGGAGATTGTTGGCTTATATTTGGATCAGTTTATACATGAGTCAATATGGTATATATTAATGGGAAATCTATAAATGCCCATCTCTACATGCAGTCTCACCACTAGTTGCTTAAAACGATTCATCACTGGCATGTCATAATCATTGGCAGAAAATAGTGAGTGAACACTTGAGCACATCACTCTTCCATAATTTTTTTTTTTAATCATTTTCAATCTAAGCAAGGCAATAAAGCCACTAAGACACAAGGGATTACTGAGTGTTAGAGAATATGAAAAAATATATTAAGGCAACAATAAAAGAACAAGAATTAAGAAGATAGAATATAACAATTGACATTACATTTAAATTTTTTAACTTGCCTTATATCCCAATAATAACACTGTTGCAAACATTTTCAACCTTGACAGAGGCCAGTCAGTTTAGAAACAGCATAAATTTGGTTCTTATTCACAATTTTGCTTCAAATGCTGCAAAACCTGTTCACATATAAACACCAATATTCATGGCTTTATAATGTACAAAACATGTCATGCTATGTTTTTTAACATTCCTTACCCATATTTGATTAAAGCTTACTCAGATTTATGAGTGTTTTATAAGACATGCGGATATGCATGTGGTGCACTGCTTTACAACTCAGAACAAGTAACTGGTGAGCCAAGTTCAAATTCCAGCCAGGTTCATTACATTCACTTATTATATATACTCTTGGCAAAGGTACAAATCCATCTCTTCTCCTCCCAGCTATATGTTAAATAGTAGGGCCGACTGGGTTTTCTAGCTATGGCTGGTAACCAGTCTAGGAGAAGGACAGCACTGAATTCAAAAACTACCTACTTGTACAAAGTTGGTTAGACACTAGGTGCAGATACTGTGTCTGTAAACCAAAAAAAAGTAGATTTCAACAGGTATGGATAATCCCTTGATTATCCAGAATATTGTTGAAAACCAACAGTCATTGGGTCCAATGAAGGTATCACCATGTCCTGTATTATAAAGCAGTTCAAGTAGGGTTGACCAAAAATGACAAAATCTGATATTACCCATAATGGCAAAAGTATATTCCCAACATTAAAACACTTGTATTTGATAGACAACATTTTTCTATTTGAATAATTATTAGAAAAAAAAAAGATTTTTTATATCAATACATTTCTTATGATAACACAGATTTTTTTTTTTAAATCCTACTTTTATTAGGAACAGCAGAGCATCAGTATTGCAAAAGCTGGGATCGTTTGCAGGTAAAAAGAAGATTTAAATATTGTTTTCTATTGTTATTCTGTTCACTTTTACTTGACCTTTGTGTGTAATTAATACCAGCCTCTTTAAGTTCCTAAAACTAAACTGGTTCCCCCACCAGACTTTTCTATTAGGAGGGTGGTTAGACACCCATCCTAGGTTCCATAGCTTAATGTGCAACCAATGCAGTGATGACATGGCATTGCTTGGTGGAGGACTTTCTACACTGAAGGGCTTATGGCTACTTCATGTTGAAACACCAGTTCCCTTATGATCATGGGGATTAAGCAATGTTGAGCCTGGTCAGTACCTAGATGAGTGACCGCTTGGCAATACCAAGTGCTGTAAGCTTAGATGTGTGGGTGGTGTAATACATAATTGTTCAGAATTGTTAATTGAAGAGCCAGGTTTCAATTCTCATTGGGTTTGTTATCTTTACTTATGCGCAAATCCACCTATTCTCCTCCGGCTATGAGTTAATTAGTAAGAATGTATCACTAAACAATTATCTAAAAAAAAAAAAAAAAACTTCTTACAATTTAAAAATATCTTCTGGCTTTAAATAACCTGCAAATGGTTGATAAGCTATAGAAAACAAATCAATCAAACTAGACTGAAGTCAACTGCCAGGGCACAGGGTTCCCACAATAAAATCAATGACTACATTTCTGTAACCAAGGCGGACCTTCAAGTTGGATGACATTGACTTGGAGAGGGATGGGCTTCGCCAGGTCTACCTGCCTAACAAAAGCTACACATTGTGATTGTCCTCATCTTTGTTGCCATATTTATTACAACACTCCGGCCTTCTTTAGTTGGTTGGAATGTCGAACTGAACCCTTTATTTCACTCACTAGGGTAGGCTGTTCTAGTTCCATGTGCCATGTTTAATGGATGTCAGTTAGCAGTTATCTCCTGTTAATTCCCTTCTCCAAGTTCTCCACTGCCTTAACTGGGTATTAAACTCACACTCTTTGGGTCCTGTCACTGGATCTAAGTAACGCCTTTATCCACTATACCATGTGTGGAACTAGAACAGTCTACCCCAGTGAGCGAAATAAAGGGTTCAGTTTGACATTTCAACCACCTAAAGAAGGCCGAAGTGTACAACGGCCAAAATGTATTGCGACAAAGATGAGGATAATAGTCCGAATAATGTAAGTAGTGTCCATAATACCTCATCACAGAAATATAGACAGATAATGAATGAATAACTCTCTCGCTTTCGACCCAGATATGTGGAAGGAACAGATATGTGGAAGACTCCACCCAGTTGATAATGACTAAATTTGATTGCCTACTGACTAATATTCACCTCTAAATTAATTGAATTAACAAGGAGGAGATTATGTTGAAAAATATTTATTGTGTGAAATAAATGTTGTTTTTGCATTATCAAATTGAAAACTAGATCTATTTGGAAAAGATGTTAGAATAATTTAGAACTTATGCTGAGATTGAACAACTTGTATACGGATAGAAAATAAATTGAGCAGCTACACAAAAATAGAAAGAGTTATGAAACAGTGATGTGTCCTTGTTATATTAGCATGCTGAAACTCTTAATATGCCAAGCTAAATGTTTCCCTTAGTGTTTCCAGGTATTAACTGCCCTTAGAAGACCCACTTCTTGTCCCTGTTATTGTAATGGTTGCTGAATCTAAATAAACATATATTTAACTGCACATATGTTTCTTTTATCAATCCAAACCATCCCGGGGTTCGTTGTATCATAAGTCTTCTCCCCAGATTTATTCAACCTCTACAGTAACATTATCCTAAGTGAACTGGATACCCTACCAGGATTTGTTGGTGAGTCTTAACATTATAAGATATGTAGATTACACTGTGTTGATGACTGACTGGGAAAGAAAACTACAGGATCTCCTAGACAAGGTAGTAGATGAAAGCAGGAAAGAAGCATTAACCATCAACTGCAAGACAACAGAAAGTATGATCATCAGCAAGAGGTAAATTCCAAGGTGAGAGTTACAAATCCGGGATATCAGCATCAAGTAGATGCAGAATTTTAAGTGTCTGAGAAATCTTTTAACAGAGGATGGAAAATGCATTGGACTAAAAAGAAGTGTTCAAAAAGCTAAACAGTGCTGAGAAACAACAATTTCATTAGAAACAAAGAAAAGAGTGCTGAATTGCTATGTGTTATCCATCTTATTATATGACAGTGAATGCTGGACTATCTTTCCATGGATGAGGAGAAAACTAAAGACAGCAGAAATGTGGTTCTACAGAAGGAACTGAAAATTCCATGGACAGAGTAAAATTAGTAATAATAATAATAATAGTAAAAATACTTGTCTGAATTTCTTAGATGAGAAATTTTTATTATTTCTTCTGTATGACATGTCCCAAAGGACATTGGCAATCATGCTCTCCACAATTTTCTGTCCTTTCTAGCTCTTAATAAATTTTGTCATTTATTTATCTCCCCTAAACCCTGTTTAGCAATCCATTTACTCAAGTTTGTTAGGTAGATTATGCACTGTTTTCAGCTGACTCAATATGTCCTATGAGTGTCGAGCCCTTTTTCCTCATTATATGCCCTAGAAATTTCAACTCTGATGTCTAAGTGTCCTTTTTGTTTCTATTTTCTCTAAAACTTCATCATTGCTGACATGTTCAGTCCATGGTTTTCTCAGCATCCTTCTGTAGAACCACATTTCTATCACCTCAAGTTTCTTTTTCATCTGTGTGGAGCATTCACTGCCATATAGGAGGACCAATATTACATAACAGTTCAGTACTCATTTCATTGTTTCTAATGAAAATTATCTGTTTCTTAATTCTTTGCTTAGCATTTGAAACACATCTTTCATTATCTCAATGCACCTTTGGAGTGTGGTGTTGCACATTCTGTCCTCTGTTAAAACAATTCCTAGATATTTAAATTGTTATATTTGCTTGATTTTGGCATCTCCAATTCGTAATTTGCATGTTGTGTTGCTCCTTTTACTGAGAACCATGCATTCTGACTTCTTGCAATTAATGTTCCATCCTTTCTTCTCAGTTTTCTTCACTACCTTCTGTAGAAGTTCTTGTATGTTTCCTTTCTGTATCTGCTATCAACACTGTGTCATCTACATAACAAACTGAACATAGAATAGGCTGTGCTAGAGGTAGTTTTGTGCAACACCACAAATTGCTACAAAACCAAAACATTAATCTGAAAGCATGAGTGATGTTCTTAAATAGCCTTGTCAGAACGAGATTTTCATATGGCATGGCAATTAACCTGTTTTGAAATATCTAAACTGTCAGCTGTATACATCTACTTTCTAAGATCAATAGTTAAAAATGACTTTGAACACGTGAAGCCATTGGGTTTTGGTAAAGACCACACTTCTTTGAACTTTGTGGACTTGTGCTACAGAATTAAATAGAACTACCAAATAATAGAAACCATATCACTTGAGGACTTTCAACTACATCAACAACTAAAATGGATATCACATGAAACTTGAAGAGAAAATGATGACACAATCAAGATGTTGACATTCCACACTACTTCAAATGTTAGGAAGGAAACTTCCATCAATACTGGAAAGTGCAATATCAGCTACTGGACTTGAGAAACCTATTTTACTGAAAAATTGTTTTAAGTGAATGATTTTATAAATTTCAATCAAAAGTAGTACTGGATGCTCAGTCAATGAATGCTGAATGTTTCCTTATAAGGAAACAGCTGATATTACCAAAACCATTGGAATGACAACAATCTACTCTGTAGATTAAATAAAGTGTTCACTTTGAAATTCCCTGAAGTTTACCCACACCAACAAGCAAACTGAAGGGCATGATGGCTGAAATATTTTTTTATACTAATGTTCACACAATAAAAGGCCAAAGAGCAACTCGAGGTAGAGAGTCACTGTGATATTGTATGAGCATAAGGCAAGAAGTAAAGTTCATTAGGTTATAATGGCTAACCCTAAACTTGAAGAGGTCAAGATTGTAGTTATTGGGAAAACATCCTGCCAGGAGTCTGTTCCACAAAGCAGCAGTTATTGAGAAAAAGCTGTTCAAGTGGAACTTCTTTCTTACTAATGAAATACAAAGGGAATGAGGATGTTTCATTCAAGTGTTTCTGGCATGGTGGGTCTTAGATGCAAAGGTCATAAATGGTGGGTCTAAGGAATGTAGCTTGTTCGACCATTTGCTATGGAAAATAACAATATAGTAGTGAGAGGCTTGCAACATTTCATCTGTGGAAAGGGGGTTGTTGGGTAGAAAATAATCACCCACAAGGCCGTGTAGATGTTTTTGCACTCTATCAAGACAGGCAAGTGAGTACTGGGCAGTATTAACCCTGATATAGCAGTAATACTCCATTTGTGATCTGGTTTTTGTAAAGATAGAGTATAGCAGAGGGAACAAGATACTTATTGGAGTGGTATAATGAACTGGACATTTTTTCAGCATCCTTAGAAATAGATCATATGTATGAGTTTCACTTGAGTTCTGGGGTGAGCTTGAGTTCCAATAGACATTCAAGGCAAGATAGGTGAAAGTTCTGGGTCTGCCTGGTGGTGGTGAAACATTACTGGTTTGGTTTTAGCTATACTGAATTTTACAAGCCAAGTCCTTCCCTTGAGTCACCTGGGATAGGCAAAGAGCCTCCTTGATTGAAGACCCATCCATTATCTTACTTATTATAAAACGCAAATTGTGTGTGTGTGTCTGTTTATATATGGGATCGTATTTCCTACATTTTTCAACCGATTTCAACAAAACTCCACAGGACTACGTAAAATTACCCGGAGGTGGTTTTGACAGTGCCAAAAATTGGAAAAACACAATTGTTTTTGCATGAGATTAATTTGAAAGCACGGTTAAAGGGTATCGCACCCAGCCAGAAGTTACTGCTGGCTACTCAAACGTCTGAAAACAGAACGAATGCTGTTAACTTCCGGTGACTCAGCATTTTTTTTTTTTTTTTTTTCAGAGAGTGATACACAAAAAGTAAAACAAATGAAACAAACATACACAAATCCTCCTAACTAAAAATAATAACTGGAAACTACTTTAAATAGACATGGTGTCCAAATGAAACCCATGTGTACACTCAAAATGCAGAAGTTAATTTTTAGTCATCAACCAAAAGATATTGCCAACCGACTATGATGCTAACTGGAGCCGACATAAACACAGCCAATTTCTTCCACCAAGCAAAAGAATATTTTAAGTCAAGTGATAGCGATTGCTGTATGAGTCATACGATTTTTGAATAAAGCACGGGCAATGCCGGGCCATGCTGCTAGTGATAGATAAAAGTCTGTTTAGTGGTGGTGGAGCATTACTGGTTTGGTTTGGGCCATATTCAATTTTACAAGCCAAGTCCTTTTGAGCCACCTGGGATAGGTCAGAGGAAAGATAAGGCATTAGGTTCTAGTCATCCAGATCTTTGAAGTTACACCTATAAACTTCTGTATCATCTGCATAGATATTCACTAATGATTTGAGTATATTCTTAGGCAGATCATTAATATAAAGTAGAAATAGAGTAGAAAAGTGGAGTGAACTCTAAGGAATGCTGGTATTGATCTTATGGGCTTCCAATTAATAATGAGCTTAAGGGACCTACCTGATGATAATTGAGGAAGCCCTTTCAGAGATTCCATAGCTGGAGACTTTATGATGCCACACCTTGTCAAAGGCCTTTAATATATCTAGGGCAATAGTCCTTGCGATAAATTCATTGTCTAGTGCTCTGCTGATTCTGTGAGTAATGACAGTTAAGAGATCAGCTGTGGACCTAGCAAGATGAAATCCATGCTGGTTATTACTCAGGTGGTTGTTTCTATTGAGATGTCCAACAACCTTCTTGTTGATTAACAACAAAGATGAGGGCAATAGTCCGCATCTTTGCAACAGTGTACAAGACCAAGAACAAGAATAAATCCTCAGTCTCTCCTTTCTTTAATTAATTTACAGAGTTGTCAACTACTTTAGATAAAGCAACATGCTTTGCTCAGAAATTGTTTCAACTCCACTCTCGATTCATTTGCAGTATCTCTGCCTGGTTTTGCTACTAGAACAGTCTTTACCAAGTAATATGCATATAACTCCATCCATGATTTCTTCTATCATTTGTAAACTAGATCTCCATATGACTTGTAGATTCAACAGTATCCTTGCAATTGTCCTAAAGAAATGTGCTTTTGAACTGGCTCCTGTTACCTCCAAACTTTATGATAAATGCTTTGCTACTTCATGCTTTCCAGTTTGTTGAAATTCCTCCTCTGTAGTTTCTGTCTTTAAGAACTTTGGGGAACCATCCAACTCCTGAAATTATCATTCTGTTAGTCTCTTACTTCTTTTTGGCAAAGTACAAGAAGCTCTAATGAATGCCAAATTGGTTAAGCATCTTACTTCACACAACCCTTTTTTTGGATAAACAATATGCTTAAAAAATTTTCCAGGTCTACCACTGGTGGGCTATAACCATCATTGAATTTATCTACTAAGCTTTAGATAAGAACAGTAAAGCTCAGACTGTGACCCTGGATATCTCAAAGAGCGAAACTGAAAGGCAGCAGTCTGTGGGTTCTGCTGAACTGACTACAGTTTGCCGTTCTAAGAGGCAACGAGTGGCATGCGTGATATGTAAGCAGAATAGTGGACGCTTACGCAAATGTAGCAACAGTCCCTGACTAAATGAAATGCTGGATGAACAAGGAGAAAAAGAAAAATGGCCTATCTTAGAATCCAAAATGAGCACGAACATGTTTTGCCTGCAGAGTGCCGGAAGTTAACAATAAAAGTACGAGCGTCCTTGGGGGGGGTGTTATTTATGAGTCACAGACATGTAACATATGCAAATTTCAGCCAGTTAGAACTGATATAAAACGAGCAATCTCGCAGTTAGGGGGATCTTTCCTTTTCTTTTTGTTCTTGAGTTGGTTATACAGTTCGGGTGTGCATATCGTCAGAGACTAAGAAAGACTATAGGAATCTATCTTCCTCCTTATACTTGGGACAGCAGTGTCAAACTTAAAACCAACTCTTTTCCTTCATGTTTGACAGGATTTAGCATGCTGGTTTTCTTTACAAGCTTATGGCCTATAGTTTCTCTTGACAAATATTTGGCTTAATCTAATCATTCTTAACAAATCATGTAATGAACTTTGTGTTGAACAGACACACTTCTAGTTCATTTCATATTAATGCAGAGATCCCCCAGGGATCTATCCTTGGACCTACACTGTTTCTGATCTTCATCAAGAACCTTTTCAGTGTCATCAACTCAGTATTTATGCAGATCACACAACAATTTACTCCTGTCTTAGTAGCAACTCTGTCAAATCTGACAAGGTAAAACTGGCAACTGCTTTCTAAAAAGGCCTCCAATCAGTGGTTAACTGGAGCAAGGAATGGCTTGTAAATTTTAATACTGTCAAAACAAAACTGTTTTCATTTAATCATCACTGAGAACCTTTTCTGCCTGCCATCAGCATGGTTGAATCTAAACTCAACTTTGTGCCTTTTGGGGCCCACATTTTCCACTGGCATAAAGTGGAGTGATTATATGGAATCATTTGCTAAGACTTCTAGGAAAATTGGTTCACTGTATTGTCTCTACCAATTCTTCTTGTCAGAATCCCTCTTGCACATTTATAAATCTACCATTTGTTCATGCATTGAAAACTACTGCCATTACTGGTTTGTCTTTTACAAAATATTTTCATGGCAATTGTTCTGATGAGCTTTTCTCCTTATTGCCACAACTGTATGAATTTAAACATGCTACAAGATTGACAACTAGGTCTCACCATTTTACTGTTGAATTAGCTAGATGCTAACATCAGTTCTATTCCAATAGTTTCTTTTCTTGCACTTATTCTGAGTTCTTACTTCCCTGCTAACTACAATCTTCAAAAAAATTTAAATGCAATGTCAATCGACATCTGTCTTCTTGAACCCTGTTCTTTTTCCTCATGTCTCGTCACTAAGGTTTTCTCATTCTCTTTCACTCCCTGTAACTCCATGTGCACTATAGCATTACATGGGATGAAATGAATAAAAAAAAATATTGTAAATAAAACTACTTGACTGAAAAAAATTTCAGAAAATAAATACAAAGTTGTTATTTTTTATTTTATTAATATTATTTATTATTTTTTTATTTTGAGTATTATTTATTTATTATTTTTTATTTTATTAGTATTTATCAGAAATAAATGCTAATTATTTTCTTTGTTACTAGATATAATAATCATTGAAAACGACAGTTGGAGTGTATTATATGACAAGGTTACTAATATTATAGTCAGTTTTAGTACAAACAGTTAAAGTAAAAGCTTAGGTGAAAGTTACAACAATAACGATATTATCATAAAAAATAATGATCATATTATCGTAGAATGTGTAGTATAACTTACCAGAAGCTATTTGTTGCCATTATGATAACTGGTATCTGCTTCTTCAGAACTGGTCTGCCGTTCCCTTTTCTGGAGTTGGTCCATTAACCTTGGAGTAGATCCTAGGTCTTTGAGAGAGAGTGCCATTTTTGTGTCTGTCTTAGCTGCTGATCCCTGTCTCTCTGGCCTCTGATAGCTGTCACATGGTTTTTATTTTTACATACGGTGGGGGGTGGGGAGACAACCGTTTTCACCAATCCAACACTACAAATCTTTTATTCAGATTTATGGTAAACATTGCTTCATAAAACTGTCATAGAAAAAGCAAAATTTAGTAGATGTGAGTTAAATCACAGAACCATTTATAATATCAATATGAAAATTCTATTTAACCAAATTCTTTGCCATTTTTTCAGCCTACCAGCCAGGGCCTCCATTATTGCTGCTGCAAATCCTGTTGGAGGACACTATACAAAATCCAAAACAGTCTCAGAAAATCTCAAGTGAGTTGAAAATATGCACATTTTCTATTTAATAATTTGATCTCTACAATAATTAGTACAACTACTTATGCTCAGACATTGCAGGTTTGTTTAATTAATGGTTTTAGAAAACGGGTAACTCATTTACATATGAAGTCACAAAGGCTATAAATAGCTATGGCTATTACCCATGAGGCAGTTGAATGCATGCTACTTCCCATGAGTCAGTAACTGCACTACAATGGCATTGCCAATATCTAAAAAACCAAACAAACAATTATCACTGAATAATTATGAATATGCACAATCATGGCTTAGGATACTAACAGCTAAAGCTAGGACAAAAAAGCTAAAGGGTTAAGATCAGTTGGAGGAGAAAACCAAATAACTGATCTCCTCTTGACAACTGCTGGTTGTGAGGCCATTATAAAATTATCAGGAATTGCACACCCAAGACAGTTGGAGAAAATGATGTAAGTCAACTCATAGTGAAAAACATAATACCCAAGAAAAAACTAGTGAATACAGAGAGCTAAGTTCATGATTATTTCTCAAAAAGTGAATGAATCAGTTATTGAATATGTTCTTCATTTAAAACAGGCCACTAAATATTGTGAATTTGAGAAACTATTATCAGAAAACCAGCCAGTCAAAGAGGATTTGATCAAAATGAAATTGGTAAACAGCCTTCAAAATGAGGAGTATCAACAAATGACTCTAATGCATTTACAACTGGGAAAGTTGTCACTATAACAGTGTGTCAAATTTGTTCAGCAACAAGAATTAATTCAAAAATTTATTAACACAAAAGTTACAGATCTGGTAGAGGAAATGGACACATACGTGATAAAGAAAAAACAGAATAAAGTGTACTTTTTGTGGATATTGACATCAAAGGAAAAAGCAAAAATATCCGGCATATGAAATAAAATGCGAAAAGTGTTTCAAAATGAATCATTTTAAATGTATGTGTAAATCCAAAAAGAAAAATGTAGAGATGGTCCAACAAAATGAAGAGAAAATAATTATGGGCATCTTTTCATTGAAAAGAAAAATGGTTATTAAAAACACGACTCAATAATGTTTTATTGGACCTGCAACTAGATATGGGTAGTGATGTGACGTTAATACCCAGAAATGTATGGAAGAAATTAGAAAAACCAAGATTAAAGAAAAGCAATATTCAATTGAATCAGTTTGATGGATCCGTGATAAAAACGTTAGGCAATTTTGAAGTCTACGTGGGATTAAAAAATAAGTTTGACATATTAACAATTATCGTGACAAGTTCTGCTAGGAGGGAGCAAATGAGCCTCCTCATTAGTAATTTTAAGAAAGGAAGATGAGAATCTGCACATTTGTAATGACTACAAAATAGGCTTAGACTCATATCCTATCCCCAATGTAGAATGGGCTTTGAACTCCTTTGTAGATGTGAAAACATTCTTTAAAATTAATCTAAAGGTGGTGTACCTTCAAATATCTATTGACAAAGGTGGTGTACCTTCAAATATCTATTGACAAAGGTGGTGTACCTTCAAATATCTATTGACAAAGACAAGAAAGAAATCACAACAATAAATACGCCAAGGGCTTATTAAGGTGGAAAAGAATGTTGTATGGAATTAAAACTGCAAGTATGATTTTTCAAAGGATTATAGAGCAAGTTATTGGTAGCAATATAAAAAATACAATACAGGATGATATTTATGTTGGTGCCATTAATGACGAAGCATTAAAATAGAAAACATGCATAGTTTTGAGTAAGTTAAAAAATGTTGGATTAACAAAAAAAAATTTGTGCACAACACTAAAAGTGGCATTAAAAAATTTAATAGCTGTTCAGGCAAAGTATCTAGTAGTAAAAATATTCAACCTTGAAAGGAAATAGTAATAGCAACTGATGCAAGCAAACCCTCGATTTTAGGAATATTAGCTGAGGATGGTCATCCTATTATGTATCTTTTGAGAAAATTGTCAAAAGCCAAATTGAACTACAGAAATATTGAGAAAGAAGTGTTGGCAATAATATCGATAACAAATAGGGCACGTCAGTTTTTGAAGGAACTTCCTAAGGTAATGTCTTCTAGAATTTTAAGATGACCTTAATGTTAATGACATTTATTTTGATATTGAGCACATAAAAGGCAATATCATTCCACACGTAGAGATTGAGGATTATTCCTTCTAAAAATGAGAAAGAGGAGGAAAAATTTAAAAGTACTTTCTTACACTGGGTAGAGACTGATTTTGTCAGTAGACAAATTAGTCGAGGATATGAAGCAAGATCCCATATTGAACAGTATATTGTTCAGGATAAAAAAATAATAAGTGGAATAATTGCTCACAAGCAGAAAGGTGTTTTTAAAGAAGTTAACCACAAGTTAACTATAGAAAAGGGGTGTAATTTGTAATGGCAACATAATGGTTCTGCCAGAAATGCATAGGAGCAGAATTATAAAAAGTATACATGATGATGTTCATTGTGGAATGACATCTACACAAAGGAGATTAAGGCTAGAAGCATGGTGGCCAGACTATTCTACAGGTGTAGAAGAATGCATAAAAAGGTGTAAAATGTGCAATGAAAGATGAAAATTTAGACAGACAAAAACATGTGCATGACCTAAAGAGTCCCAACCTTAGGACAGAGTACATATGGATCATGCCCATGATAATGGAGTGAGATTATTATTAATACTGGTAAATTTGTATTCAGAAGTAATACAGGTCTCCAACAAAAGAAGTTCAACCATGAAACAAGCATTAAGGATTATATTTTTGAAGAAGCAGAATTCTGAAAATGCTAGTATCTGACAACATCCCAGAGTTCTGTGATGAGGAACTATGTCAATGGTTGAACAAAATTGACCCCCACCCACCTTCGTACCATCTGCAATCTAACAGATTAGCAGAAAGGATGGTGCAAACTATAAAAAGCTGGTTGAAAGCATGTGTACAATGGAAAGAAAAAATAGAAATATTTATTCCTAGATTGTTGCTACGGTATAAGACAATACTACATGCTGGAAGATTGAAGAGCCTGTTCACCCTCAGGGGTAGACAAATTATTGATGCTACCAATGAAAAACTATTGTATAAAAAGAATAATGAATCTAATATACAAGAAGCAAGATTCATAATGCAAAGTGGACAAAACACTATGATAATAGAAAAAATGGAAATGGGATATTCGTGCATGCAGACCAAGTTAAATTGCAACATGATAGTGATGAAGAAATGTACCATAAGCCTGAAAGTAATGAAGACAAAAGTGTTATGTCAAGGGAAAACGAATTAAACAGTGAAATTATGAGTAATATAAACTCTGAAGATGAACAATTATTGGAGAAACGCTCCCATGAAAAAAGAAAAAGATCACAATCTCCCATATCTAGACAATCTCTTAGGGAGGTGGAGGAAGATAGTGTGAAAACAAAAGCTCTCAGAAATACCAGAGAAAATAAGGGGATAAAACCTCTTTGGTACAGGGAGATGAGGTGACTCATTTACACATGAAGTCACAAAGACTATAAATATCTATGGCTATTACCCATGAGGCACTTGAATGCATACTACTTCCCATGAGTCAGTAATACTACACTACAGAAAGATTTTTTTTTATCATTTCACCCCAAGCAAGCCAATAAAGAACACAAAGGGTTACTGGGAGTGGAAGAGAGTGAGATGACTTTAGTGGGGAGAAAGGACAGGATTCAGGAAGACAGAAGATGGCATTTGGCATTGTATTTAAATTTTTGAAATTGTAAGTGGCAAGAAAGCAAGAAGAGAGTTACCATGAGCAAGAAAAGAAACTATTAGAATAGAGCATATGGTTGCATCTAATTAGTTCAGTAGTAAAACTGTGAAACCTAGTTGCCAATCTAGTACTATGCTTAAATTCATGCAGTCGAGGCACTAAGGATGAAAACTCATCAGAACAATTACTTTCAAAATATTTATAGAAAAGACAGAAGAAAGTCATGCTTTGGCAATGGGAAAATGACTATATATGATGGCTGCCCATTATTTACATTGTTTGGACTATAATCCTCATCTTTGTTGCCATATTTATCACAATGTTTTGTTCGTTGTACCCAATGCCTTCTTCAGGTGGTTGGAATGTAGAACTGAACCCTTTATTTTAGCTCACAAAATAAGGGGTTCAGTTCCATGTGCCATGTCTAGATGGATGTCAGTTATAACTGGTAACTGACATCCATTAAACAAAGATGAGGATGATAGTCCCAACAATGTAAATAGTGAACAGTCTACCCTCATCTCAGAAATATAGACAGATAATGATGGTTGCCATTTTGTGGTCATTTATAACTATCACAAGATGTCATTATAAAACTTAGTTGTGCTTTGAACAGATGCTGTTCTTTAAACTGGATAAACTTTTAATATCTATTAAGTTAGTCATGAGAAACATACATTTTGTTGTCATTAGGTCTATTTTTGTAACTATTTACATACCAGCTGATAACAAATGTGACATAAATAAATAACAAAGTTGACAAAGATGAGGATGACAATTTTCCTCTTTTATCAACAATGTACAAACAATAAGTGTGAAGTCATGATCACCTATATGGTCATCTCAGAAAATATAGACTGCAGATAATGATGGCCATCTTTGCCATTTTGTGGGTCATTTATTAAGGCTCTCCATCAAAAGATGTCATTATAAAACTTAGTTGTCCATTACAACAGATTGTCAACTTGTATCAAAAAAATTTAAACTTTTTTCAGATAAACTTTTTGAATATCTATTAAGTTAGTCATGCATGGAAGAGCCAATGACATTTTGCATAGTTGTCATTAGGTCTATTTTTGTTGAACTTGTATTTACATGTTGTGTCAGCCTACCAGTTTTTTGTTCCAATGGTGATGGAACACCACCAATTGTTATGGACATAATTCTCAAATTATTTAAATAACTGTTTTTGTAGTTTTGACTGATGCTTTCAAAGAGGTTAGATGGACTTCACATATGAAAAATTTTCCTGCTTTTACTTCAAGCAAGGCTTGACCATCAAAATGGTATTTAATGATCAGTCAATTCGATTGATTGTTGGCTTTTTCCAGAACTTATATGGTCTGGACGTTCAAGGTTGAATGGAAGCTTTTCTCAGTCAAATGTACTGCAGTTTGCAAAGTTAAATGATTCTTCAGGCCATCTTATAGCATTTCATAGCATGATGGGCTGGTCAAAATTTTATATTAAAATGCTCTCCATAAGAGGAAAGGTCAAAGCTATTTTTGGGGTATCATTTTTTTGTTAGCACATCATATGTTAAAAATCTAGTTTTTTTGGCCCATTTTTTCCATTTTAAAAAACTGGAAATCTGAGTTTGAAAACTTCATCATTTTTTCAAACTTATTTTAAGAAAATCAGAAATTATAATGTTTATTTAAAAAAATTTAACTTAGCTTTTTGCCAAAAAGACTTTTTCAAAGCAGGTCATAACTTCCTTTATGATGATGGCATTGGTGACTAAGTAGACCAATTCTTGCATGGAAGAGCCAATGACATTGACTGCATAGTAATGTTGGTGGAGGGTGACATCAATTTTGTTGAGACTTTCTCTCTTGTCGTTTGAAATTAAAATAAAACTGTTAATTTTCTCTTCTTCTAATTAATTTATAATATGAAATTTGCAGGAAGTACATAAAATACTATAATTTTTGGTTCCAATGGTGATGGAACACCACCAATTGTTATGGTCTTGTGCATGTGTTTCAAATGATTTAGACTTATGTCCTGTTGCTTTCAGTGTTGTTTTGAACTGGTCCTTGTGTTTTCAAAGAGGACAACCCCATGGTCTTTTCCTTGAAGTGAGTCCATTGAAAAAGACTTGACATGGAAACTTTGACTCTTCAATTCTGGCTACATGTTCTGACCATCAAAGATGGTATTTAATGATCAGCAATTCGATTGATTGTTGGCTTTTTCCAGAACTGGTGTTGGTCACATAGCAATTCCAGTTGGGGTTCAAGGTTGAATGAAGCTTTTGCTGGTGAAATGTTTTAATTTTTGGATATCGCAACAATATTGCAACCTCATATATTATATGTATATGTTGTACATAGATAAAAACCCAAAGTATTAGTAAAACCAAGACAAAGCCTGCCAAGCAACCAAAGGAAAAACTAATAAAAAGAAAAATCTGCAACCAATAAAAAAAAACAGTAGAAAAACCAATAGAAGAAAAAGAGGAAAAGGAAACATAGATTAAGAAGAAAAGAAGACAGACACCGATCTAAACAGTAATTTACTGTGCTCTGTCTAAATTATCAAGATATAGCTATGACAATTCCCAGCATTATAACTCAGAAAAAGACAAAGTTCTGACCACTAATCAAGTTTTGCACTACCACGGTCATGAGGTAACCAGAACATACATACATATATATATATATATATATATATATATATATATATATATACATACATACATACATACATACATATATATGCGTGTTAGTAGTACATGGAATCCAAACATAAGTTGAGAAATGAGACAGTGGAAATAGTTTTTCATTTTGCCTTCATTAAGTAGTTAGGTATGCATCTTCAGGTTAGAATGAAAAACAAATCTGTTTTTTTTGTTTTTGTTTTTTTCTAATAATGAAATTATTATACCTGTTTACTAAGTTGGCATCTCTTGGTTGGAATGAAAGAACATATATATGATATACACACACTCACAAGAATTTAAAAAAATGATTTGGTTTAAATTGTGATTTAAATTACTGATTTAACTCAAACAACCCTGCTTGTGTCCAATGTGATCTTGATATTTGTGTAGCATTGTACACAAATATATAATTGTGACATAGGTTTTTGGAACTGTGGGGGTTTCCTGAAAACCAAACCATCTGGCCTTATTCAAATACTGATCACACCAGATTGTGAACTACTACCAGAAACTTTTGGCTCTATGGATGTTGAAGAAACAAAAATGTGTCTGAGAAGATGTCTGCAACAGGGATACTCAGAAACAAGCCAGTGTTATAATATAATCCTCTACTATATAAAAAGCATGAATATGGGGGTAGGCAAAAGTAGGTATACCGTAAGTATTATTCCAGTATTACCAGTATTATAATAATGGTTCTAGGATCCATTTAATACTAGAATTTATTTAATTCATTAAAATCATTTTTAATTTTTTTATTTTTATAATTTTTAATAATAATAATAATAATAAATGTTTTGCAGGTAAAGATTTGTGTGTGAATGACAGGAAAAGTTTGAACATTTGAGAGAGATTGATATGTTTGTATAATCAATAAAATACGTTTTCTGCGTGTACTTTTTTTTTATTTCATAGCCATGTACCTACTTTTGCACCTCCTGTATATTTTATTTGTCACTTTTGAGAAATCTGTTTTTAGTGTTTTACTCTGCTTCAAATTAAACCTCTTTCTTATTCAGTCCACATCAAAACTTGTCTAGGAAAATTAAAAATAAAATGTCACTCTCTGTGCATTGGCACTGAGCATCACTTCTGGCTCACAAAAATCCTAAAAAAATATAAAATTTAAACATTGGAATCAATTACAAACATTACTGTTAAAGCAAAAGCATAACAAAAAATGCTGAATCATGTATCTACCCTGACTGCTTAAAAGGACCTCAAGTCAGTACAGAGTATATAGGCAGTATCCAGATTTCATCAGTGGCCTCTTGGTTAACTGCCCTGACACAAGCTTCAACTGACAGTACACAACTGACTCCTATCTTCCAAGTCACTTCCCTTGCCCCACAAGAAACGCTCTGTCTTGATCTATTATACTGGCAATACAGATAATTTTATTTTAACATATCTTGTCTCCTTTTCTTTCTGCTAAGAAAGATGAAGAAATTACTAATGCCCACCGAAAGGATCTGATATGAGGTACCAATGTGAGGAGGAAGTTTAGGAGAATGACTATCCTGCAACCTCTCCTCACAGACAAAGGGATCCCCTCAGTAATTAATTTTCCAAAATGGGAAGTGATCAATTTTCCTAGCTGGACAACAAAGGAGTCCCTTATCAGAAATCGAGAATTACCAAGGACCCCAGACTGCGTCTAACTCCGCACCAGTTTTTGGTTGATGTCCATATAAGTAAGCACCCTCGGGCAGTTCACCAGTGGAGTAGCAGCAGTTGAGTTGAGCTCAGTTTGAGTCGGAGTTGCAGAAGTTTGCGCTGACAGTGATTCCATGATTCCAGCCTCCGACCTCACCTTTCTACAAAACAGCAAGTTATACTGATGAACAAGCTAAGCCAAAACCTAAAAACTAAACAAGTTGACTTAGAAGACCAGAACTTGCCTAGAAGCATAATAGTGTCACTCTCAGAAGAAAAACACATACTTCTTTATAGAACAGACTAATAAAAGTTGATTTGCTTTCTTTCAACATACCTGAACCTTTTTCTGGTTTTTATTTATTTCTTTTTACGCTTGTTCAATATCACCTCCACTTTAGACTCATCTTGCGCTATGGCCCAATGCCTGATTGATCTCGTTTACCTAAGTTCAAATCACAACATGGGTAGGTTATACTTGAGATCGAAGTAATTACTTTGGTAACCAGTCATTGGAAGTGAGCTGAGAACGATGGAGCTGGTGTTGAACCGGTTGCATCTGGTTTGAAGCTGTTAGAATCGACCAACCATCCCATTTGGTACCCATACCAAAGGATCCTGCTGGGTAGTGATGACTGCCGATCAACCGGGTCACGTGTTGGTGGCAGCAACTAAGAGTCAACCCCAAAGCACTGGTAGGGGAAGTATCACAACTTCACACCATGACTAGGATTTGACCCCCGAGCCAACAATACTATGTCACAACTTCAGAATTTCTAAATTCTCTGAATATCATAGTCTATTTATGAATAAATAGTTGCCAACTAATAAAATGACAAAAATGAATATCTGTATATCCCAAAAATAAGGTACGGGTGTGGGGGGGTGCTGAAATGTTCTCGGTCAGTCCACTTTCAAAAGTTAGCGTTTCAATCAGATATCTTAATATTGATTTTGGAAAGTAGGTTGGCCCAAGAACTTTTCAGCACTTCTTCATATCTTCTTCATTCCAACTTGAACTCATCCCATTCAGTCAATCATTGCACTCTTTAATGTCTGTGTTTCTTACAGGATGAGTGGTGCATTACTGTCACGATTTGATCTTGTGTTCATTCTTCTGGACAAGCCAAATGAGGTGAGTATTGAAATAGAAAATAATACATTTCCTGTTTCCTTCTAGCAATTAGGCTTAATGACATCTCCAATATTAAAATAAGCAAGGTTTCATTTGAAAGTGTTGGAATTTGTTTACATTCAGTCCTACCAGCCATCTCTCTCTAGTGGTTGGTGGACTTGAAGGTACTAACCTTTAAGTGTTATATCTTCTTTCATATAACATTTGTTCATGGGTTTTCATTTTTAGTTATTTTGCACATTTTCATCCTCAATCTAATCTCTGATGAGAGAGGAACAGTAAACCAGTTTAACCATCTATTTTGTTGTGTTATATTTCTGTATTACTTTTTCATGGTAATATTTTTTTTTTACTTCCCATTCTCAGTTATAAATTTTTTTTTCTTGTTTTAACATGTCCATTTTTATCACAAATAAAATTAAAATAACGTTTTTTGGTAACAGGCATGAATTTGGGGGGTAAAATTCTTTTCCCTTATCATCATCATCAGTTCTATGACTGGGTGTGGTCATATGACAACTGAGCACATGACCAGCTCACTCCCCATATCTGGCTTCAAAAAAAGAGAATTATTCATGTGTAACGTTTCTTTTGGAAGTAGACCTGAAGGAGTTCATCCCTCTGCAGGTCAAGTCACAGCCTATGTCCTTGAAAACCCCTAGTGGAAGCAATGGCCATTTGTCCATGATCAAGACAAGGTTTCATGTCCTCTAACTTGAAATCTCAACTTGCTTTATTAATTTAATCATTGCTTCCATTGGAGGATAACCTATGCCATGGCTGTTAACTTCAGTCTAGGAAGCCCTTCATCTTGTAATACTATGTCATCACCGCCTTTGCTGTATACATAGCTATGGAGGCCAGTCTACACATTGTGCTAGATGGCTGTTGACCCACCAAGAAGGTTTATCCACTCTTTGACAGCTCTTATTTTTAATCCTAGCTACTAGACTACTAAGCCACTACTCCTGGTGAGGGAACTGGTTTAATTGCCAATGACTTACTGGCAGGTAGTAAGGGGTTACATGGTACCAGTAGCATTTGTAGAGTAACCTGACATAATTATATATTATTATTATATATTGATCTATTCAAATGATTACCCATGTCTTGAGTGTTATTACCATTGTCTTTTGGTCATTGTATCCTCCGGCCTTTTCAATTAGCTGTTGTCTTTGGTAACCTTCTTAAAAATTCCAAACCATTTTATTCGATCTATGGGAATAGATTATAATTCTGCTATTCCTTATTTGGGGATATCTTTTATTAGTTAATTCTTTCTTGTGATGCCACTTTTGCTTTTTCTGCTGAGTTTCTGGGATGAGGAGTTATTGTTATTTACACTTGTATTATTGTCCTTATCTTTGTTGTTGTTATAACAATGTTATTGAAGGTTATCTGGATCAATAAGCACCTGAAGAAGGCTGGTGGGCACAACAGCCAAAACATTACGATAATAAAAACAAAGATGAAGACACTAGTCTAAATGTAAATAATGGACCATAGAGGTATATGTCTTTTACTGCTTAAACCTATGACCAACAACTAATTAGATACATTATTTACATTATTCAAACTATTGTCCTCATCTTTGTCGCCATATTTATCACAACATTTCGGCCGTTGTACACTCCGGCCTTCTTCAGGTGGTTGGAATGTCGAACTGAACCCTTTATTTCGCTCACTGGGGTAAACTGTTCTAGTTCCACATGCCATGTTTGATGGATGTCAGTTATCAGTTATCTCCTGTTAATTTTCCCTCTGAAAGTCCTCCATTGAACTCACACTCTTTGGGTCTTGTCACTGGATCTAACCAAAGCCTTTATCCACTGTGCCATGTGTCCTTGAGGACATCTGGGTATGAATTTCTGGGTATTATAAACCTAATGTCTTCAGCAACCATTTTTACCAGTGCTCATATTGCAATTTTGCTGTTATCATTTCATGTTTTTACCAGAGCTCATATTGCAACTTTTTGTTCTTATCATGGCTTTTCTCTGGCACTCCTTATTACTGGTTCCCATATTGTATTTATTTCTATGCTTGGTCGGCTCAGGAGATTTTTGTGGGCTAGCATATGTGCTGCTTCCTTAAGTTTACGAATTTTCCAATGGTGTTCCCTAGCTATGATCTCAACATGATCCCACAAAGGGCGGTGATATCTCTTCTCCCTCCATATGTGGTCAGCCACGCCTGATTTTTCTACTTACCCTCGTTTTACAGCTTTCTGGTGTTCTTGAAGCCTTACCTTGAGGGGGCAGCCTGTCTCTCCTTTATATTCCTTTCCGCAGCTGCACGGGATAGCATACACACAGTCTTTAGTCATGTTCTCCTTTATTGGGGGAAGTCTTACTCAGGAGAGATATCTGCAAATTAGATGCACATAACCAATTAGTCAAAATAATTTAGTTCCAGTCAGTCGAGTATGTTTGGGTGATCATGTCTCTTTCAATTCATGATTGATTTGGCAGAATATTTTCCCACAGTAGATTAGCATTTCTTTCTGTGGTAGACTGGTTGGTAACCAAGGCTATAGGACTCTGTCTGTCCTGCTATTCAGCCTATATCTGTGAGGGGAGAAGAGATGAATTCATCGCTTTTCCAAAAGAATTTTTGTGTAAGTGAATGTAATGAACCCAGCTGGAATTTGAACTGGGTTCATTACATTTACTTATAATTTCATTTCATAGAAATTCAAGCAGATATGTTTCTTCACTTTGCTTAACTTAATCGAAGTATGTTGTGTTATTTTCCACAGATTATGGATAATATGCTTTCCGAACATGTGATGGCTTTACATGCTGGCAAAAGACAGTAAGTCAAAATATTATTTTAATCTGGATTACAATTTTTATCAACTTAATCCTTTTAAGCAGAGCTTTATAATCAATTAGGTGCAGTTAGAATAAATTATAATAAAATAGTTTAATGGTTAACTTTAGGGATATATGTAGGTTACAGCAGTGATCAGCACAATAACCACACACATTCATGAAACTGATAATTTTCATGCTTTTCTCTCGCTTCAAACTAAATGTACAACCCACTAATTTGAATAAAAATTTCTATGAAAATAAAGTGCTGTTTACTTGACTGTGCTGTTGTATATAACAAATCATAATGTAATCTTAATGTAAGGTTTTATGATTGTTTGAAAAAAAGGTCAGCATCACATTTTTGCCATTTCCTGGCTTAAGATGCAAAACATTTTTAGCTGTTCTGGATGTAGGAAGAAGCAGCTTTCCAATGATACCAAAAATCATGGGCAAAATTGTTTTATGTTTTTTTTGTTTGTGTTATATTCCATGCTAAGGGAATAAACACATAACACCAGGTGGATACTAGAAGAAAGGTTTATTGTACACAAGTACAATATGAAATATGGTACAGTTATACACACAGGTCAATCTAGTAGTGAGTGCCACTAACTGGAAGATCAGATGTGCTTGCATTGTCTCGCTCTACTTCTCCTGAGTCTCTCATAGACGGTCGACTTTATAGGTACTTACTACCTATAGTGTAATCATTCATGGGGGTGACTGGTTATTCCATTATATCAGTTTGTTTTGTTTTTGTCAACCAATATTTCTTCAAACAATTTGTATCCCAAGAAATACCATATATTTCTAAAAGTTAAATAAAGTTCCATTCACACGGTATACAAAACTAAGCACTTTCTCACAGTGGGAGGCAGCAGCAAGCATTAGAACAGTCTAGTTGATTCACTTTTAAGATAGTAAACAACCAAAATGGTAGCAGTTCAAAATCATGATGTTGTTGCTTCCAATTTACAAAAATTTTCATATTCTTGATGAGAATTTCTGTAATTTACCAATGAATTTCCTACTTAATACTAGGTATTCACGTTCATGATATTTACAAAAGTAATAGCCCACGTTAGGTAAATTTTGTTTTCTTAAATTTTGTGTTGTACCAGCTGTATCTACTGTGTTGATTTCACTGGCCAGTTAAGGCTTGAATTAAATATTTCTTTTCAAAAGTGTAATTCAAACACATCAATTGAGTAAATGAATGCATTAAGTGTAAAGTCTATATATTTTTAAAATATTTTTATGTAAAAATCAAAGGGAGTTAATTTGAGAAAATATCAATTCTAACAAATTTAACCAGTAATCTCCAATATAACTTTCCTTGTGATTAACATTCTTCTGAATTTTATTGTTGCTGAATGTTTTGGTGATCTCTGTATTTTAAAAATATAAGAATATTGTTTTAAAAATTTGGTTATATAAATAATATATATTGACAAGCTGGGTCTGTAGAAATTGTATGGATGTTGACAATTAAGATTATCAATTATTTCATGCCTCTACTCTTCTCTCACCTTTTTTGCTTGTATCTTCTCATTCTCTCCCTTATATTATTATCTGGACCCATGGAAATTCTATGGATGTTAACAATTAAGATTATCCATTATCTCATGGCTCTATTCTTCTCTCAACCTTTTTTCTGTATCTTCCCATTCTCTTCCTTATGTCTTCCAATCTTTGTTATACATCCATGCTTTTATCTAAATGTTATACTAACATGGATTCGTTCCATATTTCAAAAAGATATAAGGAATACTCTTTTCTAATATATCCTCTCTTTTATCTTTCTTTTGATCTATCTGTCCATATTTGTACATTTTTCCATCCCTACCTGTCATTCTGTCATTATCTCTTCATATCCAGTCTGTATTTTTTCTTCATCTCTACTCCATCTCTCACTCTTCCTTTCTCCTATTTTTTTTTTTATTTACTTTCATTGTCTATAATGGCACTGATTTTTGCTACATTTTTTTTTAATCAATTCACCTCAAGGAAGGTGATAATGCTCCTAAGATGCAAGGTGCTACTGAAAATGAAAGAGAATGAAAAAACTTTAGAAGGAACTGGAAACTCAATCCTAAACAGAAAACAAGGGATAGACCTCTACTCCTGTTCAATAGACTGGGAAGGATTGTGAATCAATGATAGGAAAACTTATCTACTCTTATTGAGGAAAAAAAAGAAAGAAATAGTAAATAAAATTTCAGAGTTTGGGTGGATACGTTAGAAGTATAGAGTTGAAGTAGACTTTAAAAGAAACTGGAAACCCAATCCTAAATAGTAAACAAGGGATAAATCTCTACTCATCTTGAAAAGACAGGGAAGGAGTATGGACCAGTTGATAGGTAAACCTATCTACTTCTATTGTCTCCAATTGTGGACAGGCTGAGGACAAATGTGCATGCATATAATTATATCTATTAAAAAATGTATGCATATGCTTAGCTTTAATCCAACATCATCCATAAGTGTAGGAAATCCAGTGAGGATAAAACTCACTATACAATCATAATGGTTTTCTAGGCTAACTTGCTAAACATGCCCCCACAGCAAATTACCTTTTGTCTTAATAAGATTAACTTATCTATTATTTACATTTGGACTAATATCTTCATCTTTGTGGCTATTATCATGACATTTTGGCCATTGCGTCCTCCAGCTGTCTTCAGGTGTTTGTTGATCTGGGTAATCTTCATGGAATTTCAGACTGAACCCTTTATTTAATCAATGCAACACTAAAAATGTATAAAAATACATTTTTATAGTAAATTTACTAGCAATACATTTTTATAGTGAAATTACCAACAATACATTTTTTTTTTTAAATTACTAACAATATATTTTATCATCTACAATGTATATTTACACTATTTACATTCTTTGGACTGTTGTCCTCATCTTTATTGTCATATTCATAACATTTTGGCCATTATATGCTCTGGCCTTCTTAGGTGATATACGTTGGAATTACGAACTGAACCCTTTATATCATTCACTAGGGTAGATTGTTCTACTAGTTCCACGTGCCATGCCTTTTCTGGGTATCTCAGTTATTTCCCTTTAGTAACTCAACACTCCAAGTTTTTGTTCACATCTTCTGAGGCCAGGTATTGAACTCACAACTTTTTGGATCACATCACTGGATTATTTCAACCAACGCTTTTATCTACTGGACCATGTGTCCTTGGGGACTAGAACAATCTACCCCAGTGAATGAAATAAAGGCTTCTGTTTGAAATTCCAATGTATATTCACCTGAAGATGGTCAGATCATACAACAGCTGAAACTAATTAGTGTAAATAGTTAGAATACCTCCTCTTGGAAATATAGACAGATGTATAAACTGTATATCTAAAAAACATACATTTACCTTGAAAATATAAAATTATATACAAAATATCTGTAGCTGAGGGTATAAAATTGCATACAAAATATTTAAATTTTGACATTAAATAACTCATAAAGGTTGATATAGCTCTAAACAAAATCAACCAACCATCCAATAAGCAAAATGATGTAAAATACCTGAAGAATTGAAATTCATTTAATTAAAAAATTACATTCATGTTTTCCTTCTTTGAATTTGCAAAAAAAAAAAAACAACTTATTTTGTTTCTAATATTAACAGTTATTATTGCCTGATACAAAATGTTTCAAGAATTATAGTCAGCTTATCAAATCCAAATCAGCAATGATTTTACAAAGTAACCGTTTTTGATTTCAATGTCGCGAAATAGAAATATTTTGAAACTTCCATCAGTTAATGTATTGATGCAGTTAAATGTGCTATGGTAATTTTACAATGGGTGTTGCAAGTAAAGCAGTTATTTGAGCCATTTTTATGCAAAGTACTCTTGGGAACTGAATATTCTTTCCTTTCAAAGTTTCATGTTTTTCTTTGAGTGGCATTAAGCTCAGACTTTATGAAATTGGGGTGTGTCATTAAAAACTCAATTTGATAAATTTTAAACCACGAAAAGTTGTTTGGCATATCACTATTCATTGAGTCAGCAGAGGAGGTGTCAGTATGACATAAAAGGCACATTTCATATTTCAAGAGAATTTGAATTCTACCACAAGCAAAATTAAAACTGATGTTTTATGTTAAAGTTCTAGTATATCAAATTGGCTTCTTGTATTAAAACAGTATTATTTTTAATTTCAGATTCTTATCAGTGACAGTACAAAGATCCCAGCATGGTATCCTTGAAGTAAGTGAAAGTCAAATATTGCACAAATTTCTGTTTGAATTTCTGGGATGAAGAGTTATTAATTACACTATTTACATTTGGATTATTGTCTTCATCTTTGTTGTTGTTGTTATGTCCTTCAGCCTTTATCAGGTGTACATTGATCCGTGTAACCTACAGGGAATTCTTCATATATCTGATATTTTTTTGGTTACATCTTACACAAAATAGTAATCTGTTCAAAACTGAGAACACAAATGTATAAGTAACATGTGAATGTAGGATTGTTACTTGTGTTGTCATTGTGATGTGGCTCACTTTATGCAGGACCAGTATTGATGCAGCCTTCCATGAAAAGTTTTTTCCCTCTCCTGTCATACACTTATTGTCACATCCTTCCCACTTCTTTTCAAAGCAGTCTGCAATGCCCTCTTTTGGTGTTCATTAACTGTCTTGATTTCCTAATTGTATTTGTATCTTTAGTCTGAAATCTTGTTTTCCTTAACTATCCTAGAAGTCAATGGGAGGTGAATCAAGACAGCAGTTGGGGGCTGACAGAAATAGGTAATGCAGTGGTTTACCACAGTAACATTGCCTCTTATTGGTTAATAAGTCTCACCTAGTCCATGCATTTGGTTCTCAAGATATTTAAATTGATCAGATACTTTCTGGACCAACCCTGTGTGTTTTTTATATATTATATATATATATATATATATAATGTATATTTAGGCAGCAAGTATTCATCAAAACAAGTTTGAATAAAAAGAACCAACATGGTCTATTTAATTTTTTATTATATTTTTCCAATTTTCAGATAAGGTATTAAATATTGTGCTTGAAGTTGTGGATAAACTGTCTGAAGTTCATATTTTGTTATTTTTGTTCTAGCACTTTTGACTTTCACAAGCAATCACAGCGTGAAGAAAGAATAGAATGAAGTTTGATGAGACCAAGAAGTGTCCTATCTTATTGGCTAAGAATAAATCCTAGCATGCGTCTGTATGCTTTGTTTATAAATTTGGGGAGAGGGATTTTTTGCAGTCATTCCAACAAAGATTAAAGCCAATACAGATTCTGTTTTTATTTAATATTTTTTATATTGTAATGATATTTTATCTTTTTCAGAAAGAATGTCATCAAACCCTACAAGAACGATTAATGATTAAAGAACCAATGGACTTTATTCCTGCTCAACTTTTCAGAAAGGTGATGGCACTCAACTCTACTTTCTCTTACAGAAGTATTTCATGAGTCTAAAGACACAAATTGCAAACATTTCCTATTTTCATATTCTTTTCATGATAAATTCTTAATATGATGCCTTAATCCTTGCATATTTCTTTAAACCAATACCTATAAGAATGATACAACTTTATTTGTGGCTTATCGGAAGTCAACTCAGAGTTTCATGATTCTTTGCTCCTCACGACCAAACTTACAACTGAAAATATTTCTCAATTTTGTCAATAATTTTACTCGGGTAACTAAAATTGTTTATAATTATGCTTGACTTATTTTTAACGCTACTGCCGCATCTGGTCTGGTGTTCCTGCTATATATTTTAAAGATACTTGATAAAACCCAAAGAAGAATATGCATTGTTAATGTCCTTACTTGGTATCTTGGATTCTGTCACTTTCGCACCACTGTAATGTAGCTTCCCTGAACTTTTTCTATAAATACTTTCATGGTAATTGTTCTGATGAACTTTCTGCTAAGGTACCTAGACTTTATGAATTTAAATGCAGTAATAGATTAGCATCAAGGTCTCTTCATTTTACAGTTGAAATGGCTAGATGTAAATGTAAGTTCTATGCTAACAGTTTCTTCTATCACACTTCTTGTCTTTCCTGGGTATGACAATAAACTACATCTAGCAGCAAGGCGTCTGATCAGGAGGTTTTGAGGAGTGTAGAACCACCTCTTAATTACTATTGTTCCCAGTTCTACTCTGACCTGGGGTGATAGCACCTGTTAGGGTCTCAGCTATGAGCAAATAGTTAACCCCCAAACTGGGATCAAAACACTGTGAAAGTATAAAAACTTTTATTGTAAAAATACCAGTAATACATTTTTATAATAAAAGAAATTACACATAATACATTTCTGTAAGGAAAAAAAAAATACCAGCAATAAATTTTTGTAACAAAAAAAATTTAGCAGCAATACATTGTAATTAAAAAGAAAAAAAATTAACATCAATACATTTTTGTGACAAAAAAAAAAATTAGCAGCAATACATTGTAAATAAAAAGAAAAATTAACAATACATTTTTGTAAAAGACGCCTTATTAACCTTTATAAAATTTAATAAAAATATTTTCTTTTAATATTCATGATCTGGATTGGGTAATCTTTAGTAATATAGATTGTGCCTTTTTTACAACTTCTCCAAATAAAGTAATCTGTTTTTTTTCTATTGTAGTATGTTGCTTATGCACGGAAATATGTTCATCCTCGAATTGGAAAAGAAGCTGCTCAAGTATTGCAGGTATTTGAATTATCAGCTGTAATTAATTCAAAGTTTGTCTTTAAACAGGATGACAAAAATAAAATTACAAAAATGTATACTCTCAGATGTAAACACTGCTTCTCAAAATACATCAGTGTGTATTGTTTGTGAAGAAAAACAAAAAAAAATATGTGTAAATTAAGATGTAATAAAACTAACAAATTAAATGGATCTGAATTATAGCAGGCACATTATTAAAACATTCTATTAATCAGTTTCAGACAAAATAAAAAATTTTTTAATGAAAATTATTAATAAGATATGATATACATGCTGAATGGGTACCAACTTAAAATTTAATTAACTTAGGATTGATGGTGAAGATAAAATTTACACATTTACAACATATATCAAATTAATAATCTACAAAATTTGAAGTTTGTATAGTTAGTAAGTTAGAAGATTTATACTCTTCAAGTAACACACTTTAAAATTGAGCTGACCATTTTCTGTTATCTATGTGTGTGCCTTTTGGGTTTACTATGACATCCACATGTGAGGTATAAATATAAGGACAGTGTATCAAGATGTCAGAGTCTAAACAATCTGCACGATAATGAGTAGCAGCTACCCTGAATCCTTCATAACAATTCAACATGTGGTATTAGTAAATACTAAACCACATCACTTGAAGATTTTCGACAACAGTAACAACTAAAATGGATAGCACATGTAGCTCAAAGAGAAATTAATGACATAATCAAGATGTTGACTTTCCAAACTACTACAAATAAAATGTTAGGAAAGAATATCCCCTTAGTACTGGAAAGAGCAATAACAATTACTGGACTTGAGAAACCTATTTTCCTGAAAAATTGTTTTAGCAGAAAGATTTTATAAATTTCAACTGAAAATAGCACTGACTGCTCAGCCAACCAATGCTGAATGTTTTCTAATAACGAAATGACTAATATTACCCTTTAAAAATGCAATCTTATATGATATTTGTTACAACACAATCAAAATCAATCATTTTGAATAAATTAGTTCAAGCTAAATGTTCCTAATGCTGTATCATGATAAAAGCATTTTTAATCTCACCAATACCTCATTCAGAATTAGAACCCTGTTTACTATTTCCAATGCTGTTAACCATGAGGAACAATTCCTTAAAAGTCCTTAGTATGACAATAAACTACGTCCAGCAGCAAGAGATCAGGAGATTGGAGATTTTGATGAGTGTGGAACCATCTCTTAATTGTTGTCGTTCTCACTTCTATTTTTAACCTGGAGTAGTAACTATAGGCAAATAGTGAATTCTCAAACAGAAATCAAAATACTAGAGAAAAAAAATGCATTTTTATGATAAAAATATCAGCAATACAATTTCATAAAAAATATCACTAACAATACATTTTAAAGCTACACAATCAGTAACACATTTTATAGTAGAATTACCAACAATACATTTTATACTAGAATTACCAACAATACATTTTGCAGTAGAATTACCAACAATACATTTTACAGTAGAATTACCAACAATACATTTTACAGTAGAATTACCAACAATACATTTTACAGTAGAATTACCAACAATACATTTTATACTAGAATTACCAACAATACATTTTATACTAGAATTACCAACAATACATTTTACAGTAGAATTACCAACAATACATTTTACAGTAGAATTACCAACAATACATTTTACAGTAGAATTACCAACAATACATTTTACAGTAGAATTACCAACAATACATTTTACATTTTTACTAGAATTACCAACAATACATTTTACAGTAGAATTACCAACAATACATTTTACAGTAGAATTACCAACAATACATTTTATACTAGAATTACCAACAATACATTTTATACTAGAATTACCAACAATATATTTTTATAACAAACTGACAATGCATTTTATAGTAAAATTGAAGACATACCATATCTTATCAAAAAAAATTTTTTTTTAAATAATTTGCTTTAAGATCATTTCTTGCAAGGAGAAACAAGTTGTCACTTCCCGTTTCATTTTGTACGATTGGTATAAAAAAAATGCAGCTAAGTAATTATAATTTATTCATGAAATAATGTCATTCTCTTGAATTAATTATAAAGGTTGAATTTTCATAATTAGATTTTGGCATTAAATAACCTATACGGGTTGATATGCCGCTCAAAAAAACAATCAAACAACTAACTCTGTCAATACCGTAGGAAGTCACACTGGAAATATGGCTCGCTTCTTCATGTGGGATTGAAATAAAATTCGGTAGTTACCTCCCCTTGTTAATACTGATGAAATAAAGTTGAAATTTAGGTAGTGAGAAATTCTTTTCATTAACTTGATGAGGTGTGCTATACAATGCAAATAAGTAACATTATTCTTTTTTTTTTTTTTCATCATGAATGAAATTATATATTTTATAAACTTTTGGATGATTTAAAATTATTGTCAAAAATGTATGCACAAGAAACTTTTCTTAAGTAGAATTCTTGTGAGTATATTACTTGAATTTCAAGTATTTGAAGAATTTGTCAATGTTTTCAAATATGAATTTTACACTATTTTTTTTCATCTTATTTTCATAGATTAGAACTATCTAAGTAAACTAGTTCACTTGTAAAAATAAGGAAAAATTTTGATGGGAATAATTCTTGTAGATTAGTATTCTTTAGTCCAGTCATGGGCAACCTTTTTCAAATAATAGACTGCATGAGATATAGTTCACCATAAGGCAGGCCACACCACTTTAAAAATGTTCAAGGTAACTTTTCATTGAAGGTACCTTGGTCATTTTCACTGCAGAAGACCATATGCATAAACATCTACCTTGGAAATGGGGAAAAATCCCCTTTTTTTTCTCTAGAGAATAGATTCTTTCTATAATTAAAAAATTGAAGTCTTGTTATAATCTTATCACTAATGAAAGTCTGATTAGTACACACTGTTGTGTGTAATTCATTTCTAATTTATTTGATTAGACAAAAATATTTTTTTTAAAGTAAAAGTATATTTATTCCTTGGAGAGAAAAAAAATTATTGTGGATATTTCCTGTTTCTGAAGCAAAAGATGTTTACAGTGAAAATTGCCAATGGTTTAAAATGATAAAAATGTTACCGTCAACAAAAAGTTACAAAATTCAATAAACATTGTACTTAAACATTCTTTCAGAAAGTTTAAGTGAACAAGTGAGAACAAAATAAAAGAATAAAATTAGGCATGCCATTCAGAAAGCTAAACAAGCTACATGTGGTCCACAGGATGTAGTTTGCCCATGATTACTTTAGACCCTCCTTATACCGTGACACTTATCAGAATCAAAAAATATTGACTTTTTAAAAAAAAAAAAAAAACCTTTTAGAAGGTGAGTCCTTGTGATACTATAGACATCCTTATAGAAAAGAGAGAGGTGGTTCTATCTCAATCTCAGGCATTTGTTTGATGGGCCAGTAGATAGTTCCTATAGAAGTTCAGTCTTCTAAGTGGCATCCACTTTGACTGAAGAGTAACACAGAAGTAAAGAGATAGATGAGGGTTTTTTAGAAATCAAGTGACAACAAAACTGGAAATAAGGTATATCCAAGTGCTGGTCTATATTAACAGTCATGCTTGGGATCAGGAAGAATTCTGGTTGACCAATTCCAAAGCATCCATTTTGTACTGCCAGCCACCACATTGAAAAGAGTAGATAGATGAGAAGTTGGTAAAGGAAAGAATTGACATGGCAGAAGTTGTCCCAAGTATTACTTACCTACCTACCCACCTACACAAGCAGGCAAAGTCCTGAATAAATGCCTACATATAATATGGAAAACAGTGTTCACGTTCTTATTTCTCAACATGGCATTTCTTTCATTGTGTTAGCTTGGTGCGCACTGACGAGATCAAGAATCAGAATGCAATGTGGGGGGTGAACATTGGCCAATCAGTAGAAAACTTTGATGAGGGTCACATTGCATGTTTGCATCGTGTTTATTATAAACAGGATGCAAACATGCAATGTGATTCTCAATACAGTGTAAATAGATCACTAATTTTGACATAATTATTTGTATTTAGTTGTTTGCCTACAAATTTCAAGCTTGAAACTGTACTTATGTGATTGATATCTGTATACAAAAACAGATTTCTTTTCATTTTTAATTAAAGAACAAAAATTTACATAAATTAACAAAATTATAAAAATTATGCAGATACAAAGAGCAACATTTTGCTATACTCTGTTGCAATTAGATCTCTTTCTGATTCATTCTGCATGTTGGCCGGATGTGAAAGACATGAAGGCGGGGAATAAAATAAAAAAAAGTTGTTTTCTGTGTATAGGCTCCACACATCACATCCAGTTTACAAGGCAAATGCTGGCAATGAAAGCAACACTGGCTAATCACAAATGTTCCCACCAGAAAAAAAGATGTCTCAGGTCACTGAGAATGACCAAGATAGTTGTGGCCTGGAAGGCCATCGGTTGGCACACAGGGCACAACCACTGCTGACATCATCACCACTGCTAACTAATACAAATAAAAAGGGATATTATAGTTTATTCTTTGATAAAATAAAGAACAAATAAGAAACATTTATCAATCTAACTTTCATTAAAGCTTCATCAGAAAATTAAATATGGAGAAAAAGAAATAAATTCTGGTAGCTTTATTTTTGTGTTGTTTGATTTTCATTGGTTAATCATGTTTCATATGCATTTAAATTGTTAAACCAATGTAAATGTTGCTTTAATTATGTAAATGTATAATAATTCTAGTTTGCCTATGTGGGATTCAGATGTATATTTGTAAGAGTGTGTTTATATTCTTGATATGCAATTTGTGTTACTGATAAGGAACCAGAAAATGAAAGCATGAAAGCAACTAAAATTAAAAGTATTATATTCTTCATAAAATCAGATCTTCTGATTTTGCTACACTAATTTCCACCACTGGCCAGATGTAAACCCTCCAAACACCCAAAACTGAACTAAAATTCTGTCAACTGTGCAAGGCTCTACACATGCCTTCCATTTTTACTCACGCACTCAAAGAAAAAATAAGCAATACAATCCAGAATTTCCAACCAATAGCAGCCACTCCTGCCTAAAGAAACAAAATAAAAACTGGGGCCAATTTTAGCCTAAAAGGGACATAAAAGCCCATCATTTTCGGCAGTTGGATGACATCTTGGCCCAGGTTCACAGACTTTCTCAGAAAGTGACCTCCCATCTCCAAGAGAGAGCACGCCAAATATCATCACCCCAGTAAGTCATAACTCCTCCACCCTCTACTTCAGACACCTTTTACAACCCCACTTTTTTCAATGAGAGATATTTACACTGATTTAGTATTTGTAGTTTACATTAATATAATTGTTTATTTCTTTAAACCTTTGTTGTTTCTTCTTTGTTCTGCTACTATATGCTTATTATAACAAGAGTGAGCAAAAAAATATAATTGACAACACTTCAGGTAAGAAATTAAAAATTAATATCACTGATTTTGCAAACTAGTTTAAATAATTCTGAAATTTGTTGTTTTAAAATAAAACAGAGTGAATTATTATTAGATGTAAATGATAAGGCCAAGCAATTTTAATAGATACTAAAAGTTTTTTTTTTTTTTGTTTAGAAATTCTATTTGGATTTGCGTCGCCAGCATCAAACACAAGATTGTACCCCCATCACAACAAGACAACTAGAATCACTTATTCGTCTCACAGAAGCTCGAGCAAGAGTGGAACTTCGAGAAGAAGCATCAAAAGAAGACGCAGAAGATGTGGTGGCCATTATGAAATATAGGTAATGTATAATATATATATATATATATAAGTGCATGGCATCCATCGGTCTCAAGAGATCTTGGATCTGCATCCAAAGAGTTTTGCCTCAGCTGATGAAAATGGTGCACCATCTGTTATGGCTGTACTTGTCCACATGAGAGTGGCAGTTTTCATTGCAGTGAATGCATGTGAAGATGCTCTTCCCTGGTGTTGTCTTGTTGCTTTCATTCCATCAAGCACACTTCTCCTCGGTGACAAGTTTTAGTTTCTCCTTGCTACAGCCCTCAATGTAAATTGTGTCTCCAGCATGATCAATCATTGGCAATGTCTTCCCACATCTTGATGTCTATGTCCATTGTCTTCATCACTCTTTTGCAGACATCCTTGAAGCAAAGATATATATATATATATATATATAAGGTTGTTTGGTAAATAAGTCAGCTTTTAGAATAAACATTTTAACTGTGTCCAAATATATTCTTATAATAGTTTCACAAAAATATATTACTCATTCCTAATGATTAAAGTGTCCTCTTTGTTAATTTTATATCAATTGCTTTAAGAATTTTGTTCTCAAATATGTGACGCATTTTGTGTGTACATTGCAAAATAGTATTATGTTGTTTGGAAAATAATGTCTGATTTCAGAATAAACGTTTTGAGTTTTGATATATTATCATAATAGTTGCACAAAAATATATTACTTATTCCTAATGATTAAAGTGTCCTCTTTGTTAATTTTATATCAATCTCTTTCAGAATTTAACTTAAAACATTATATGAAAATAGAAGAGAAGCATTTACATTTTTTTAGGGCATAATGCTTCTCAAACTGCTGTCAATATTAAGTTTATGAAGTGAAGGATTCACTTGTGTAACAGGGTAACAACCCTGAAATTGATGTTTTATAAGTAGAAATGTAAAAATGGGATTTGAAGGTTAAAATTTAAATAAACAGAAAATTAAAACATGGTTTGGCAAATTCAATTCTGGCTTCAGGAGGGCACAAACTCTGGACCAGAAATTGGAAGAAGGAAATGAGAAGTTATGTAGATTGCTGATAAAGTAAGATGAATGTATTTTCAAGTGCAGGTATCAGTGTGAAATGCTTTTCAGCCAGAACCGGGTTGGTGTGCAAATAGGCAACACTTAGATATGTTTGTTTATGAACTTCATATGGATGGTCGCAGTGTTTGTTTGAAAAGGGTTAGTACACAGATATCCCTTTTTTGTGACAATCACCTACAATTTTTATAATTATAATTATTTTGGATTTCTGGGGAGAAGTCCATCGCTGGTAAGAAAATCATCTGTTTCATTTACGGAAATATGGAATAATGAAATGTGAGCATTGTAAATCATTTTATTAAATTGTTTATTTAGAAGTATAAATTTTTATTCACAAGATTATAAAAATATGTGAACCAATTACAATGCAATATTTATTATTTGCCATATTATAAAGAAATAAATATGAAAACAATGTTTTTTATTCATAAATTTATAAAAATGTCTGAACAAGAAAATTTAAATAAATACATAACTATAAGCATAACTGTAGCCTATAAATTTTGAAAAAATGCATTTTATTTATTTATTAGACTGTTTATTTACAAGAATAGTATTTAATACATTTGTTATCAATTCTCAAGAAAAAAGAGAATGTATAAATCCCGTTTCATATGTTGAGATTTTATTAAAATTCTAAAAATAGTTTTTTAAAGCAATAAAAATTGCCAAAGGTGTATGCAGTAATAGCAGTGTTATAAGAAATTTAAGCTTCTTGAACATGTATTGTCTGCTTTTCTGACAGAAAACTGATGCTGTATTGGGCTCTTGCATAAACTTTTGAATTTCAAAAATATTTTTGGTACATTTTGATTTACACTATTTATATTATTTGGACTATTGTCCTCATCTTTGTCGCCATATTTATTTCAGTTCGACATCCCAACCACCTGAAGAAGGCCAAAGCATACAACAGCCGAAACATTGTAATAAATATGGCAACAAAGATGAGGACAGTAGTCCAAATAATGTAAATAGTGTTATAGACAAGCATATGGTTGCAAGAAAGAAATACGACAACAGCAGAAATAGATTTACGTGGTTTATTTCAACAGGAACGTGTGGGTTTGGGACAGCTACCTTGTGGTAAAGTTCATAAGCTGGCTTCGGATCTAGGTCGATCTCTCATAGTAGTTCACACATGTTGACGGTGGTTGATGCTCTCCTGCTGCTGATCGCTCAGCCTGACCATGACGGTCTGTTTTGTGGCCACCTGTGGACTGCCTGTTGAACTTCCATGTGACCCCTTTTATAGTGTTTTTTTATGGCTTAACAGGCTCGAGAAACGAAGCAAGTATAATTAGGAGGGAAGCATTTTTATTGGACGAAAAATAGAGCACTTTAAATATTATTTTATTTTTCGACCGGAACACGTGTGTCGGGAACATTTGTAAAGAAAGATAATGGTCATTTTGTTACGGGACTTTGTCCCGTTCACATCCGGTTCTCGCTCTTGAGTATTTGCCTGTAAATCAGCTGAGATATGTCTTATTTTATTTTATAACAATAGTGTACATAATACCTCATCTCAGAAATATAAACAGATACATTTTGATTTGAGAGAAAATAGCTGCATTTGTTTTTCATTTGGAACCAATCAAAAGGTTTCCCTCCAAATTCCGAAAAGTGAATCTGGAGTCTATCTGGATGAATAAATAGAGGGCCAGGGATTGAATTCAAGGATTTGATAGAAAGCTGATGCATGAACCCAGGTTGTCTTGGTCAAGGAAGAAAAACAGCATGAAAGAAATTTGATGACCACCAGACAAGAATTGAAAGGAACATCAAAGTCACTCCCACATCAAAGAAAATTCTTCAGCTGGTGTGATAGTTCTGTTCTTTTACCACAGACTTTGCTTTGAAATTTATACCTCTTCTTTGAAAACTATTCAGAGAAGTATTTTCCCTTTTCTTCATTTATTCTTATGTTGTTTACCTTTTCTGAGAACTTTATACAGCATTGTAATTTTTATTGTAAAAAAGGCATATTTCATTTTCATTGATTATTTTTACATACATGTTATTGGCCATCATTTGGCACACAAAACACTTAATTTGTGTAAGTCTTTCATTTTTGTGTGTTAACAATAAATTTATCATCTGTTTTTTTTTTTAAACTCAGCTTGTGTCATCTTTGTTGTGTGCCTTATAAATTAAATGTTACCTGAAACATTTGTTTGAACTATTTTTTGTAGGGTTTTTTCCAAATAAAAATCCTTTACTGTCAAGGGAAAACATTCTACTTGACACAGTTTTTTTGCAGGTATGAATGTTAAACTTTGCCCTAATTTTTATTTCTCCTTCAAACTTAATTTTTACCTCTTTTTATTTATTTATATTTATTTCTTTTACCTTTCAGTATGAAAGAAACTTATTCCGATGAATTCGGTTTACTTGATTTTCGTCGCTCGCAGCACGGCTCTGGAATGAGTGCACGTTCAGGGGTTTGTAATAGCTTTCTTCTTTTTACTACATCACACCTGAAGCAATTATGATTTTTTTATATACTATTGTTCACCTGATATAAGGCCCAAAAGCTATTCAAGGTAAAGGGGTGTTGAATGAAGTTATTGTAAGGGTGTACAAGGAGGTGAATATTATGAGGATATGTAAGAGACATGGTTGTCCCTAGACTTTGAGGTTAAGATTGTAATGATCATAGAAGCATCCTTTCAGAAGTTTGTTTCACATTGTAACAGTTTTGGTGAAGAAGCTATCTGAGTGGAACTTCTTCCCTACCAATGGAATACAAAAAGAATGAGGATGAGTCACTTTTGTGTATGTAGCATGGAACCAAGGAATGTAGCTCATTTGAATATCTACCATGAAAATAGTGATAGAATAGCAAGAGGCTAGCAACATGTCTGTGGGGAAAGGGGTTGTAGGTGGAAAATAATTCATCACCCACAAGGCTATGTAGACTATTTGAACTCAGTCAAGACTGGGCAGCTTCAGGATATCTTCCGTTATTTTGTGCTTGTTTCTTTTCTGTCATTTCTATGTTTGCCTGATTTTGTAACCAGACTTAGATTTTCTGGAAATTTGTTATTGCATTGTAGCATTAAAAGTTGGAACTTGCAGAGAGACTATTCACAGTACAAGAATCTCTCTCTCTCTCTCTCTCTCTCTCTATATATATATATATATATATATATATATATACATACAAACTCATGTGTCTAATAATCTTGAGGCCACATCTGTTAGCACTGATAATGGATATAGTAACCATCCTGCTGTATAACTTGAGTAAGTATCTAAATCATAGAATATATTGTTCATGGATACATCCATTTTGCTCTCATTTCTTGGGTAAGTCTACTAATCATGAGAGTGTTTATTGCTGATGCACCCAATCTGCCAACACCTTTTTTTTATATACTATAGTGGCATGACAGTGATAAGCACAATATGACTAGTAATTGAATAATGATAAAAGTAAACCTTTTAGATCAGAAAAGACAGGATGTTATTTTTATCTATAGAGACAGTCAAAGTTAATTCTGATATAAAACAACTTTGTCGGAAGTTAGAAAAACTAAATAAAATGTTGGGCAGACAGAAAGAACTTGTCAGTATTATTTAATAAAACTTGTTAATTGTTTGAAAGAATTCTTGCTGCCTAAATACACACACACACATATATATATATATATATATATATATATATATATATATATATATATATATATGTATATATATATATGTGTGTGTGAGTATTTAGAAAGCAAATTCTCTTTTAGGCATGTCTGATTGAATAAATTACAGACATTATGTCTGCATGTTCTCATCATAATCCTTTCATATTTACAAAATCATAAATATGAAAGGATTATGATAAAAATAAGCATATATATATATATATATATATATTTGGAATGGATTTTTTTCATTTATTACTCTGACATATTTTAATTTATTACCCATATTTGAGTAGATGCTTTGTTATTTATTTATTTAGTGAACAGTATATTTATTTATTTATTTCCATCCACCAGCCTGAATATTTGATAAATCTTATTAAAAAAATAGGCAAACCTCTGGAAAGATATGAACCTGCATCTCCTAGGGGGAAACCATCATTAGATCTGAGAGACCCTGACTTCCATCAGTATGGCTGATGCTAACTTCCAGGAAATTGAATCATTGCCTCTTCTTAGCTTAATGTTCTCAGTTGATATGAAGTAGAAAGAATATATTGAATCCATTGTTAGGTCAGCTGCTAAGAAAGTTTGTTCACTGTGCTATGCGAGACAATTTTTCTCTCTAGAATCTATCTTAAACATCTATAAGTCTACCATTCGTCCATGTTTAGAATATTGCTGCTACATATGGTCTGATACACATGCTATTTACATGTTTAAGCAATAAATTAAAATATATATACGGATAGAAATGTAAAAGGAAGGCTGAAAACAGCCACACCTAAAAGGTATAGACAACAAAAAAGTGCTCAATACTAAAACATTTAAGAAAAGGCTAAAATGCCAACCAACCTCACAAGCTGAGTTTCGGCCATAAGGTCTCCTCAGGCTCCACTTCCCTGAAGAGACCTTATGGTCAAAACCCGGGTTGTGAGGTTGGTTGGCATTTTAGTCTTTTCTTATATATGTATATATAAATGACAAAAACATAGGTACACATATATGTACTAATTAACAACACATACCTTTCCTCTGTATAACCGCATTGAGTACTATTATGTTTACACCTCATGCATAAATTTAACGATTATTTATTTGTTTGCCTGCATATGCACACCAGCACATACCTGCTTATATTTGGCCATTTCATTTAACCACTCTACAACTATATATATATATATATATATATATATATATATATAATTTATTTGATTTGATTTGTATAAAATAAAACAATTTTAAACATATAATGAGAACTTGCTATTTTCATCAATTTTTTAAATGGGGAAACCTGATTGAACAAATATATTTGGCAGCAAACAGATTAAAGATTGTAAAAATTTGTATAATTTTTATACCCAAAATTTCTGAATTTATTTCTTGTTTTTTCCTGAATGCAGCCAAAAAAATTTATTAGCCTCCTGCAACAAAGAGCTGAGCACACGTACAACTCACTGTTTACTGTTCAAGAAATGAAGCAGTTAGCTCAGGTAAGTAGATAGATAGACCTGTTTTTTTTTTTTTTGAGTTATTTAAATCCTAAACAGATTTTAAATTGTGAGTTATTTAAATCCTAAATATATTTTAGATTGTAAAAATAACTGATTTTATACAAGTGAATATTTTGGAGATAACGATGATTTTTCCAGTTACAAGTTCTTCTGTTTAACCTATAACTAGGTGAAAGAGAGGGATTCATATTTTTCCCACATAAGTGAATGTAATGGACTTCGTTGGAATTTGAACTCTGTTCTCCAATTTCTCATTCCTAGCCACTGTCCGTTACACCATCTTGCAGGTAAGTAATATAAAAGGTCATTTGATATACCACACTTCACACTATAAACTGACCCCCAATATTTAAGCTAAAAAAAGAAACAAAATTTTTTATGCAATATAACTTCCTGAGATTTAATGCCCCACAGGTTGTGACACAAGGTTGGTTCTTAATCCCCTCTGCCAAACCTTTCTGGTGTTTGGGGGATGCAAGGGAGAAAGAAGAACTCCATTATAACATTCTAATGGGGGAAAACCCTCCTCATTTTAACTTCCCTCCTCATTTTAAAGCTAAAATAAAAATATTTTAACTATTTACATTGCTCGGACTATCATCCTCATATTTGTCATATTTATCACAATGTTTTGGCTGTTATACGCTCCAGTTCGACATATTTTGCTTGCTAGTGTAGAAGACTGTTCTAGTTCCACATGCCATGTCTAATGGATGTCAGTTATCAGTTATCTCCTGTTAATTCCCCTCTCCAAGTTCTCCACCGCCTTAACCAGGTATTGAACACACACTTTTTGGGTCCTGTCACTGGATCTAACTAACGCCTTTATCCACTGTGCCATGTGTCCTCATGATAGTCTGAGCAATGTAAATAGTGTACATAATACCTCATCTCAGAAATATAGACAGAAAATATTTTAATGAAAGATAAGAAAAAATGTTAAATTTAAATTGGAAAGAAAAAAATTTAAGGTTATAAAATTTGGCTGTTCAAAAAAAAGTTTATTTCATTATTTTTATATATATATATATATATATATATACACACACAGACACACACTTGCAGTACTTGTGAAAAGTTTCCATCTTTCTTATTTTCTGTTGAATCATAGTACATAATTTAATGATTGAATAAACTCATTGTGAGATAAACAACTATAAAATACCCATGGAAATTCCACTGATCATGAATGCAGAAGTAAGAGGGTACAAATGAAAAGATTAAAAATTGACAAGGTGTTCCATTTCATTGAAGCATTAAATTAAATGTATGAGAGCATTATCACTCTTTTTCTTTCACTAAATCCAAACCCCATTTCTGATATATCTTTTGCTTCCATCTTTCTTCACAATCAAAACAAAATGGTTCATTATTTATCTGAGGTAATGGCAGTGTGAGAAATAAGCACATACTAACCACAATATTTCAACATGGGTTAATGGCTGTATCCCAGAGTTAGTCTAGCTGGAAGTAAACATAAGGGTTAAGGATTTTTTTTTGTGTTTGCTACTGCTGTACCAAGAATTTGTGGGCAAAGGACAGGCAAGCTATTACAAGGCATAATACACATGCTAACTTAAGGAACAAGCAGAATTTTATATATATGAGTTTTAATGCTTCATATATATATATATATATATATATATATATATATATATGAAGCATTAAAACTCATTCAAAAAACTTAAGGGGTTGCACTATACATGAAGTTAGCTTATATATGGAGTATATATGGTAATTTATAGATTTTTCCAAGAGTTAAAGTAAATCGTAAGTCTTAAAAATAAGCATTAAAATGTCATCATTTTATGTGCATCTTCAAACTTAAAAACCTATAAAAATAGGTACCTCCACTTTTTTCACAGAAAAAAAGCATAGCATGATGAAAAAGGCCCCAAAATTAATAAAAACAAAGTTTTATCGTCAAAATGTTTATTATTAAGAGGAAAGACCAAAGTATTTTTTGATTATTTTATCAAATTTTTTTAATCCTTTCTAGCATGTTCGAAATTTTGGTTAATAATCTTCTTTTTTCATGTCAGCAGTTGACATAATATTTACAATTAGTGTTTTTTCACTTTTTTCTGGTGAACAGCACATTGATTTGGAAATTCTTGCAAAAATCAAATAATTGTCATATTTTAATGAAACTTTCAGAACTTATTCACAAATGAATGAAATTATTTTTTAAATTTTTTTTTTTACAAAATCTTGGTAAAAAAATTTTTAATTTTTACATATGTTATCTCCTCCCCACTTACTTAATTTTATGAAATTTCAAGAAATTAAATATTCTTTCCAAAAATTTTATTAGTTAAAAGTAGGACTCCTTGGAGAATGTAAATCATCAAATATTTTTTTTAAACTGGGCCCCCAGTTACTGAAAATCTGCTTCAAACCGTAAGCTAAAAAAAATGAAATCAAACTCTGACATTATTCAATTAAAAAAGCTTTTAATTGCTTTTATAAGATATATTAAGGACACTATTTTCTTAAGAAAATAATTTCTTTCTACGAATAATGAATTTTTACAAGAATTGTTTTCATTTTTTTAAATTTTAATTATAATAATTTAAAAATCATTTAAAATTTTGCATTACTTTCTTTTAGGTCATATTGTAATTAAGTGGAAACTATACTTACAAATCAAATATTGAAAAGCTTAATAAAAGTTGTTTACCTTCAATATTTTTAGAACAATTTTAATTTTTTATTTTAGTTTAAACATTTCCATTTTTTTTTTTTATGTATGGTATTCTATACATGACACTATTATTAAAAATTCACATGTAAGAGTTGTCCTAACTTTACTGAGAAATGCGCTTGTCTGTAATTCTATATTCATTTCGTGTTTACGTCTCAACAGGCTTTGCACATCATCCCTTCAAAGTTTTAAAATTTTAAAATAAGTTTTACCTTTTTTTAATTTCTATTTCACTAAATATTTTTATTTTACATATTTATTCTAGTGCAGAATTGAGTAATTTTTTTTTTAAGAAGAAACAACCTAGAAGAAATGTTTTTTTTTTTTTTTTTCATAGTAGTTTTTTTACTTTTTTTCAGTTTATTCTTTTTTATAGTAACTAAAAGTCAATAAAATTTTAGATAATTACTGAAAATATTATGTTAATTTGTAAAAAATTACTAGGTAGTTAAAAACCTCCAAAAAATGCATTCACTTAGATTTCGTAAATTTATGTCAATTCTGGTCATCCATACTTAGCTGTCAAACATCAATTCTGGTCATCCATACTTAGCTGTCAAACCATCAAACAATATGTTAGAAAAACAGGACCTGTGGTTAAGAAATGCTTGTATGCTACATTTTTTATGCTATAAGTAAGTAATATTTGTTTCAAATCAGATTAATTTAATTTTAAATTTGCTAATTTTCCTCAAATAATGTGTCACAAATATATATTTTATTTATGGAAGATTTTTAAAACCAATAATTAAATTTTGTTTACAAATGTCTTAAAATGTGAGAAAATGGCCACTTGTAACCGATTTTGTGAAAGTGAGCAAAAAATTGACATTCTAATCTATTTGAAATACACCAGAATATTTTAGCTTTCAGTTAAAGCTAAAATCAAATCTTCAAGAATGTTTTTACATTTTTAAAAATTCATTTTAAACTTTAGGTATTGAAAATTCAGTGGAGGTGCCTATATAAAAATGTTCATATCGAAACATTTATCTGTTTCTTCTCTTGAAGGTTTGTTGTCAGCCATGCAAGTCCACTGCTGAACAAAGGACTTTTCCAAATTCTTCCAGCTGATCTCTGCCATGTCTTACCAGCAAATCCCTCTAGTTAATCTTTCTATTATTTTCTGCCTACCAACCTTTTGCCCTTTTTATTGTGTCCCACACACACACCTTGCTTAATCACTTGTTTATCTCTTAGTCTGGTCTCTGATCCATGATAAACTTTTTTTTATCTCTTAGTTATTCCTAGCATTTTTCTTTCATTGATCTCTGTGCCTTTCTAAGTTTATCAAGCAATTTTGTTACTTTCCATGTCTCATACCCACACATCTAGTTTCTTCTACATTCGTTATAAACTTGATGTTTTAAGCATATTGGCCAGATGCCTTTTATTATGACCATGTTTTTTTAAATGCTGTATCAAATTGAAACATAAACCCATGTTGATGTCATCACAGCTCATGTAATATATCCAGCATTGTTCAGACATTTGAATCTACACAAGAATGTTAAATGGTTGGAAAAACAAGCAGGTCTGTGTGAGGAATGTTTCACTTTGAGTCATGCCATGAAGTTTACTTTTTGTAACTTGATTGTTATTATACTCATGCACCAGTTTCTTCAGAGGACATTTACTAAGACTTTCAGAAGATATCTGAAACCATGCCTAGAGCCAAGCACTATATATATATATATGTATAGGCAGCTTATTTTCATTCAAACAGGTTGTTAAATAATTTAAACATATGTCGATTAATTTTTGTTGTGATCCCTTCAAGTTCACGGATTAATTTCTTGGAAAATTGATTTAGAAAAATGCCAAAATTTTCTTTCAAATAGTTTTTATTTTCCAAAGTACTTTCAATCACATCTGAGACCATCTTCAGGTGGTTAAGTTGTCTTTGAGTTTGTATATGTGTTTTTGCAAATTCATAACATTTCAACTGTTTGTTTTTACTGCTTATGCAGTATATATGTATACTGTTATATATGTAAAATAGATACATTAGTTAATAAAACAAAGACAAATGAAAGGGAACCAATATAATCAGTACACATTTATTAAATATTAATTATTAACCATATGACGGAAATGAAGCACAGAGAGAAAGGTTTTAAGTTCGGAATTTTCGGACTGAGGAATAAACAGAAAAATGGGAATTACTCACCGATTGTTTTTTCAGATGGTGTATTTTCTGATGGAAATCATATTGTTAGCAAAAACCTCTGTCTGATTCCTTGATGAGCAGAACTTTTTATGAAAATAAACTTAA